CGGTCCCAGACCGTCGGTCCCAGACCGTCGGTCCCAGACCGTCGGTCTGGGGTCCCAGACCGTCGGTCCCCTCCACAGAAAAAGGAAGAAGGTGGGCCTGTGATCGGAAGGTCGCTGGTTCAACTCCATGGACCAACAATATGGAAAAAAAGGTGGGTGGGAAAGGTTAAACACCCACACCTGCCTCCACCCTCATTTGCCCCACCCTGAGTCCTTACCCCCCACATCTGCTCTCCCAGGTGCCCTAGACTGCAGCTCTCTGCTCCACACAGAGGGCTGTGGTAGCTCTGTGGTCTGTGGTTGTGTCAGGAAGGGCATCCAGCGTAAAAACAATTGCCAAGTCTTTCTTGTGTGAGTTAGTTTGCTGTGGCAACCCCTGAATAAGGGAGCAGCCGAAAGAACGAGAATAAGACAGAACCACGTTCACTAATGACATCTGCACAATTACTGAAATAAAGTTCGAGTGTAACCATTGTCTTATATTTTTATTAAAACCACTGCAAAACTAAGAAAAAAAGAAAAATTCACTAAAATTTCTCTCTTCAATAGAAAAATAAAAGTACTTTTTGGAAATGTAGCTGGACACTAAGTAATTTTAACAGCAACATTTTGTTAAAAAGGCTGAATAGAGGTATCAAAAGGCTAACTTGAAGCTAAAAATTGTAAAAGACGTATTAAACATAGTTGCTACAAGAACAAAACCCACTAGTTTAAGGGCTAAAAAGCAAAGTAGCAAAGTGCTGGCAAAAAGTTGAAAAAGTCCAGGTAGAAGACAGAAAAAGCAGAGTAGTAGCTAAAAGCTTAAGGTATCCGAACACGAGCTAAAAGTTTCAAGATTGCAAGAAAACTCAACTAAAATTAAAAACAACAACACAAAAAAGTTTTCTTGCCCGATCTCTTGCCTTGGTGAAATGTGACTTATCTGTGCTGCTGATTTTCCATGCTGCTGATCTCTTGAATTTATGCTGCTGTATTCATACCCATCCGCTCACCATAGACTCATGTTCAGGCTGCTGTTTAATATATTATATTATTTAACATGATTAGTGTTTAGCGTTCTTAGATCTTTCAGCATATCGCATCCTTTAGCGTATATCTCACATCCTTATACAGTATAGCGTTTCTTTATATTTTTGCTATTTTGGGGTGTAACTGGGACCCTGAGTACACTTTCTCGCCACATGTGATGCGAATGACAATAAAGAACCTCGAAAAGCAAAAAGATAGCTTAAAGTAGCAGATAGTAGTTAAAAAGTTGTGTAAGAAGACAGAAATAAAGCCAGTTTACTGAAGCAGAGCTCAGAGAAAAATGTGTTGAAGGTTTCCATGCGAGCTTACATAATTTCTAAAGGGGAAAAGATTTTCCATTCAAGTTAAAAAGCTAAGTAGCTAGATTGCCAAAAAATAAAAACAAACATTTGTCCAGCGTGCTCTTCACGCTTCCGTTCCCACACGTGACGTGATGACGTCACCGTGTTTAGGTCGACGCAGATAAGTGAACTTGTTTGGGCTCTGTAGCTGGCAGTTTAATGTTCCTGCTGGGCCGCACGGTTCTGCTGTCATTCGCTCACAGACTCTCTAGCAGCTGCCGGTCTTCACTATCGAAGCCCACTGGGGTCAGTTCCGTTCTAACAAAACTTAGAGGAATAACTAGGGTTTCATACCGTACTGCTTTTGGAAGCGCAAGCGGCCAACATACAGGAGCCATGCCCGAAAGAAGGCCCTTCGTACGGTTACCTACTGACGTTTACCCCGTCAACTATGACTTGTGTCTGAAGCCAGATCTGATCGACTTCACTTTCGAGGGCAAGCTGGAGGCTCAAGTGGAGGTACGTTGTAACGGGGCGCCTGGCTTCGTGGGGGGGAGGTTGTCTGTGCCTGCCAGGGATTTTCTGTTATGTAATGGCTAACGTTACTGGTTGCTAGCCGATTTTAAACTGTCAAGCTTAGCTCGTATGAGCGTTAGCAACACGTTGCTCAGTAGTCCAGCTTTCGGGGGACTTCACACGGACCTAAAGAGTCCCTTAAAGGACAGGCTGCGGATCTGTGTCCAGCCGCACGCTAGCCTCTGTTAGCTAACAACAGAATAGACTTGCACTTTCCTGTTAGCCTAGCCGACCGTTTAAAGTCATATCGTACATTAACCCGTTATTAACGTCCGACAGAATGCTTAGCGCGCTGGAGAGCAGCTGAACGCACGCCAGCAGCCCTAACCAGTTTGTCTTGTTCGTCTGAAAGTGATTAGTTCTGCTGTTAACGAGCACAGTAGCAGCTAGCTAACGCTGGCTAGTGTTTGCTAAATCATGGTGTCGCCGCCTCCCACCTGCCTGCCCCACTCAAGGTTTCCTGACACTTCTCACAATTACTTTGTACTTCACACCAAGCCCTGACTATAACGAGCACTTATTATTATTAATATGATCTTAGTTGACCGTTTCAATGGTTTTGGCCTATATGTAGCTTTCTGACTTTTATTGTAAACAGACTGAGCTGACTGTGATTTATAGTTGGGAAGTTAAATGTGACTTCAGCACAGTCTTTGCTGTTAAAGATTGTAAGATTACAAAATCCACAGGCGTTTGGGTCCTTCGCAACACATCTGATAAGTTAAGACCGCATCAGTTTTAAACTTTATTTTGTTAATTATTAAAGTAACATTACATTGGAGAGTGATGCTAGTTTTCTGTCTTAATTAAAGACTACGGTTAAACCATATACTTGGATTGTAGGTCTCGTTGATAAATCCACCCCTCCATTATCTTTACCCGCTTCTTCCTTTTCGAGTCATGGGGGTCACTGGTGTCCATGTCCAGCAGTCACTGTGTGAGAGGTGGACACCCTGGACAGGTCTCCAGTCCATCACAGGGACACACAGAGACAAACGAGACAAACACCCATTCACTCTCTCACTCACCCGTGGGCCAATTTAGAGTTGCCAATCAGCCTAACATGCATGTTTTTGGCCTCAGGATTCCATCTCTGCTGTTTGCAGATGATGTGGTCCTGTTGGCGTCATCGTGCCGTGATCTTCAGCTCTCACTGGAGCGGTTTGCAGCCGAGTGTGAAGCGGCTGGGATGAGGATCGGCACCTCCAAATCTGAGGCCATGGTCCTCAACCGGAAAAGGGTGGCTTGCTCTCTTCAGGTCAAGGGTGAGGTTCTGCCTCAAGTGGAGGAGTTCAAGTGTCTCAGGGTTTTGTTTACGAGTGAGGGAAGAATGGAGCGTGAGATTGACTGACGGATTGATGCAACATCTGCAGTATTGCGGACTCTTTACCGGTCCGTTGTGGTGAAGAGAGAGCTGAGCTGTAAGGCAAAGCTCTCTGTGTACCGGTCGGTCTACGTTCCTACCCTCACCTATGGTCATGAGTTCTGGGTAGTGACCGAAAGAATGAGATCACAGATACAGGAGGTTGAAATGAGTTTTCTCCGCAGGGTAACTGGACTCTCCCTTAAGGATAGGGTGAGAAGTTCAGTTATTCGGGAGAGAGACTCGGAGTAGAACCGCTACTCCTCCACGTCGAGAGGAGCCAGTTGAGGTGGTTCGGGCATCTGGTAAAGATGCCCCCTGGGCGCCTCCCTAGAGAGGTGCTTCAGGCATGTCCAACTGGAAGGAGACCCCGGGGAAGACCCAGAACACGCTGGAGAGACTGTTTCTCAGTTGGCCTGGGAACGCCTTGGAATCCTCCCAGAAGAGCTGGAAGAGGCTGTGGAAAGAGATGTCTGGGCCTCCCTGCTCAAACTGCTGCCCCCGCGACTCGACTTCGGAATAAGCAGAAGATAATGGCTGGATGGATGGGAGGAAACTGGAGTACCCGGAGAAAACCCACGTAGCATGGAGAGAACATGCAAACTCCACCCAGAATGGCCCCTGGCTGGGATTTCATCTGGCGACCTTGTCGTTGAGAAGCAACAGCTCTACCGACTGAGCCACGCTTGCTGATAAATGTACACTGCATATAGAAAGTATTTTTTGTGCTTTTATTGATGTCATAAAGAAATTAAAGACTATATATTTAGGCCTTTTCTACAAAATAATAAAAAAAAACTTCAGTGTCAAAGTGAAAACTGATTTCTACAAAGTAATGCCAATAAAATAAAATAGGTTCAAGGTAAATTTATTGTCATTCGCATCACATAGTACATGAGATGGAACAAAATTGTGTACTCAGGGTCCCAGTTACACACAACAATAGCAAAAATATCCATCCAGCCGTCCATTATCTTTACCTGCTTATTCCTTTTCGGGTCACAGGGGTCCTGGTCTAACTACACAAATGGTTTAAAGACAGCAAAGTACGGTAAATGTTCTGAATGGTTGAGTCGAAGCCCAGACCTAAATCCAGTTGCTGTTAATGTCCGGTCCCCATGTAACCTGACAGTTTGAGCAGTTCCACACAGATGTGATGTCAGCCAAAGGTATTCGTATTAAATGCTGATGTGAAGGAGGCGAGCATTTATGCAGTCACTTTGTTTTTGTTGTTTGTTTAAAAGGTAAATTTATACTGGCCATGATTGATTTATGATGGCAATAAAAGCTGAAAACATCCAAGGAATACTTTTTCATACACACTATTTATTTATAACAAGGAACGTTAACTGTTCTATTTTAATTTTTGGGAGCGGTGGCACAGAGGTTGAAGACAAACCTGTGGTTGAGAGATTGCTGGTTCATACCCCTTGGTCATAACATCAAATTTTGGATTGGACAGAAGAACACTCATTTGCCCCACTGTGGGCTCTTGAGCAATGCCCTTCACCTCCCCCCAATCCCCACCCCAGCTGCTCCCCACGCACCTTCAATTGTAGGCCTGTGCTCCATACATGTGGGCTGTGGTAGCTCGGTGAAGGATGGCTGCGTCAGGAAGGACGCCTGGCATAAATACAGCTGATAAATCTTAGTCCTCCGTGTGACGACCCCTGAAGAAGGGAGCAGCCGATAAAGGGGAAACGGCAAGGGATAGCTTTTTGTTGGTGCCAAATCTGGTGATTAGATGTGTAATGGGACACTCGTGTTGCAAGACGGGACAAGATGGGGTCGTAAGTCCACAAGAACGAGAGCCCTGTCACCTTTGAACTCAGGAGGGTCCAACCTATTTTTACATGGGGCCATGGGTGAAACCCTGACCAAGGTTTTCAGTATTTTCTTTAAAAATGAAAACTGTTGCCATGTTTTTCAGATTTATTGTGTGTCAACATATTCTTACAAAAATATTCAATTTTCTAAATTTATCTTTTCCGTTAGCTAGAACAGTGTACTTGTATTTTTAATTTTAGGCTTATATTCTTTTCCAATGTCTTCCTTTCAAATGATAATTTTTATGCATTTATTTTTGCTTATTTCTGATGAGAACATTTCAAACAACTACAAACATTTCACCTTCAAATTAAAGCAACGAACCAAAAGAGAGAATCAAAGTGAAGTAAATTCAGTTTGAGAGTCTGAGTTGTGGAAACTCTCGGGACATTGAAACATCTGTTTTATTGTTTTCATCAACTCTTTCCCACTGATGAAGGCGGATAATTCAACAGCTTGTGTGAAGAGTGGAGGGGGTCCTCACTCAGCAGTGCAGTCCGATTCGCCTTCACTTCAAACCTCCATGTACTCCGTTCAGAAAACATTTTAACATTTGAGCAGTGCAGAGAACCAGTCTTGATACTCTGGGGAAAACATAAATAAGCCGTTAAAAATGTTTAAATATTGGGTCATTTTGTTTTGCAACGTCAAAATCACATTCTGTTTTGAAATCCTATGATTTTCAGGGTTTCCCCTACACTTCTGAACGTGGAGTGGAGGTGGGGGTGATGGCTGTGGTGTCTCTTCCAGCTGCAGAATTGGTCATAAGTTGAAGATTCTTGTTTGTTACATGCCATGACCTTCACTGAGAGATGGCGCTTCTGTTGGATAATGCTGGGGAGACGCTCGTCTTCAGAAATGTAAAAGATCGTTGTTTATGTGGCTTGAAAATCAAGAATCACAGTTCACGTTTCTCACTCTCAAAGCGTACAATGGGGTAAATCCACTTTTTCATCAGGTCTGAAAGGGTTGATTTGTGATGGATTTTTGCCTTCACTTGTTTCATCATTAAAGCCTCCGATTCCAAACAGTTGATGTGTCAGCTGGCAGCGGTGTCGTACCCCCGTCTAGTTCTAAACGTTACTTTTATTACTCCCTGAAAACTGCATGGCATCCAAATGTGCCGCCATCTCCCACCTTGAAGTAGTTCCTCAGTTGGGAAGCGATGTCTACGTTTTCACATCACAAGTTGGAAACTCCCAGTTAAACTTCCTCCTTTTTCACTGGTTTTATATCTGTGTGATGGTTTAAGACGGTGGATTCATTTTTCTGTTTAGATTTTCAATACTCCGTGAAAGTTAATTCATTCAAATGTAGTCAAACTGCTTTTTTCCTTCCATGTACTCAGTTTTAAGGAGAGGTTATGTTGTTGTTATTATTTTTGACCATTCCTCTTCCCAGACAAATGTGAATTATTAATTCTGAGACATCAAAGCTGTTCCAAAGTAAAAGTTAAGCAGTTTTGTGTTAATGTTTACAGGTAACACAAGCCACAAACCAGATTGTGATGAACTGTGCTGACATGGACATCGTCACAGCTTCCTTTGCACCACATGGAGGAGATGGTGAGGGTTATCTCACACGACACTGTCATGACCAAAATAATCTCTGGCTACACATTTTCACCTCCGTTCATCTGTTTTAAAATCCATAATGGTGTCATGTTTCAAAGCAGTCGGTCGTCTCTTCCTCTCTGTTGTCTGCCTTTACAGAAATAAACGCTACAGGATTCAACTATCAAAATGAGGATGAGAAAGTCACCCTGTCCTTTCCAAGTGCTCTACAGAAAGGTACGGAGGGACTTCACTCGTCCCTGCTTTTAAAACCACATAGCATTATTGTAGCTGAACAATGGCTCATTTCCCACTTGTTCATTGTCTGCATGCCTCTACAGGCTGCGGCATGTTGAAGATCGACTTTGTTGGGGAGCTGAATGACAAAATGAAAGGATTCTATAGAAGTAAATACACAACTCCTGCAGGAGAGGTTCGCTTTGCTGCTGTCACACAGTTCGAGGTGAGTGATGGGGTGTGCTGCTCGACCTTAATTTGACCTTCACAATTGTCTAAGATAAAACGATGTACTCCGTTTTGCTTTGATGTGTGCTACTTTTTAAAAATCCCTTGTGTTGACATTTTTTTAATTCCAAAGTCAAACCAGGTTAGTCTTTTGAGGCCTCAGACTTTCATTAAGTCGAAGTTTTGTCTGCAGGGTTTAAAATTGGTTGTTTAGGTACAATAATACTGACGGTCTGCAGAGAAAAGCATTAATTTGCTGTTTTCAGCTATACAGTTTATAGATTTTTATTTTTTATTTTTCATCTTAAAACTTTAAGAATATTGATAGCTGGACTCTCCCGTAGAGAGAGGGTGAGAAGTTCAGTTATTCAGGAGAGACTTGGAGTAGAACGGCTGCTCCTCCACGTCGAGAGGAGCCAGTTGAGGTGGTTCAGGCATCTGGTAAGGATGCCTCCTGGGTTCGAGCATGTCCAACTGGGAGGAGACCCCGGGGAAGACCCAGGACACGCTGGAGAGACTATGTGTCTCGGTTGGCCTGGGAACGCCTTGGAATCCTCCCAGAAGATCTGGAAGAGGCTGTGGAAAGAGATGTCTGGGCCTCCTTGCTCAAACTGCTGCCCCCGCGACCCGACTTCAGAATAAGCGGAAGATTATGGATGGATTTATGGATTTATGAAAAAAATACCACGATGTAAATATTGTATTTTTCTCTGGCTGATTAGCGTCTCTCTCAAAGTTAAGTTTTCTTGCTTTGGTGAAGTTTGGTAACTGAACTGAGCGTGTGGAGACAGCAGAACGTTTCTCTGCATGCAATACACCATCGCTACCTTTCATCCGTTACATTTTTACAACTGACAGCAAATTATTTAACAAATGGTGCTAAGTTTTAGGACAAACTTCGTTTCCTCTCCTCACTCCTTGAGTTTTATAGACTGGTGTCTTTAATTTGAAGGAATTAAAAACATTGTAAAACATATCAACACAACATGTCAGGATGTAGATGCATTATAATTTATTATTAGTTCTTCTTACATAAACAGACACAGCATCACTCTGCCATACCGATGATGTCCTGTGCAACTAGCTATCTATCTCACAGCAGACATGAACATAGCAGGGGTGGGAATCTTTCACCACCTCATGAGTCAATTTGATTAGATATCAGTGGGCTGCAATAAAACTAACATTATTATCAATCTTTTTTTTCTTGACACTTAAAGTGACAGTGACATGCAAATCCTACAAATACAAAAATGGAAGAAAACATTTTAATATTTAAGAATTTTTGGCTAAATACACATATTATTCATTTTGTCACATAACTGGCACCTTTTCTTTTAAACTTGGTGCAGCCAAAGTGAAACAGGAAGTGACATCAAAGAAGAACTCTTTAAAAAGGGGAACTTCCTGGTTTTTGTTAATTGAAACAATATCTAAATCTTGACTCTTCTTCATCCCTGATAGTAACTCTAAATATTCTAAATGATTCTTCTCTGCTGTCTGTGTTAGCCATCGTAGCAATGATCTGTTCACATGCAGACATTCCCCTTTGACATCACTTCCTGTTATTGTGCATGCAAATGTCTCAACAGCTGTGCATCTTAGTGGCTTGAAATTTATTTTGCAATATGTTACTAATGTTGTCTTTCCAAAAATGCATTTGTATTTATTACAAGATTTTGACGTCTCAGGCACACATGACCATGACGTCCTTTATATAAACACTGGCTGTATATATTTTCATAAAAAGTGCAAGAGGACAAAGGAAATCGAAGTACTGTATGTCCAAAAACTTGCCTTTAGAATAAATTATATTTTTTCTTTGCTACAAAACGTATTGACCGGACTCGACTCCACCCTAAGGTGAACTTTGCTAACCTTTAATTCTTCTATTTATCACCACTAAGCAGTAAATTTTAGTGGCACGTCACAAGTTGGAACCATTGTCAGATTGTTTTAAGTGTCAGAGGAGGAAGTTGAAGTATATTCATGGTAGAAAGACATGTGAAAACTTAAAAATGAAGCGACGGGGTTCATTTTACCCTTTGAAGGTATTTCCAGGGGTGCACAAAAAGTGGAAATGTTAATGCAGTTAATGTTCATCAGCTCTGAAACTGTCCTGATTACATCTGGTTCCTGCATCAGCTGGATGTGTGTGTTAGGTTTGGGGAAGAAGAGTGTTGGCTATTTCAGATGTTACTCAACAACAAATGATCCGATCGTTACTGGAAGTTTCTGTGAAGAAACGCTGCACAGGCTTTCATTTTGTGCCAGAAGTGAGAAATTATATTGAGATGCAAATATGTGCCACTTGACTTTTTATTTGTTTATTTGTTTAAGTGCCCTATTGTATTGATTTGTTGTTGTTTTTGTCCCATGCCGTGTGTGATTTACTTGTGCTTCTGGACACGAAGCCGAGCTGCCTTTTAATTTGAATGTTTCTTGATTGCTTTGTGTGTGTTTCCCTCGTCCTCCAGGCCACTGACGCCCGCAGAGCTTTTCCTTGCTGGGATGAGCCAGCCATCAAAGCCACCTTTGACATCACTCTGATCGTCCCCAAGGACCGGGTTGCCTTGTCAAATATGGTACTTGTCATGCATTCATTCCTCATTCTGAGACTCTCCAGTCTCTGCGTCACTGAGTCACACTGCTGTCAAGTTCTCTAGTTTCTAGTGTGTTTGTCCTCTTCCTCTCTCGTCTCTTCATAGCTTACATAATTACATAACGGAGGGCTGGGAGTCACTGCATATTTTACCTCTAGCTAAAGTTATGTTCAGCCACATGTGAAATATAACAGCAGTACAAGTACAAGCCAAGGTACAGCAAAATGAAAGTAAATTTTACTTGAATTAAAAAACATCATCTGACTGAAATTATTTCCTTCCTGTTTTTAGACACTGAAGGTTTAAATGACGGGTGCTCTCTTTTAGTAATATTAAGTAATGTTTTCAAAAACCCTTTTTCTCCACATGAAGCACCAAACTTTGTTTTGTTAGTTGAATTATGAAGATAATTGTGTTGTAGCTTTAGCTGAAAATTAATTTCCCCAAATATTTGTGAAGAGTTGTTGAATGAGACAGATTTTTCTCTTTAGATTGTATTTTAATGGTTATCTTTTGTAATTTATGGTCTCTGATGGTTTAGTTGAAGATTTTAATCACTGGACTGATCTGAGCTGCGTATGAACAGACTCATTCAGTTTGTGGTTATGATGAGGATGTACAGTTTGTTATAGATGGTTGTTGAACGTTTGTGCTTAAAGTTTTTAGGGCAAACGGGAAATGGTAAAAAAAAAAGTTCTAGTTTTGGGTTCAGGTTTTATTTAACATCTTGTTTTAGTCGTAATTCATTGGCTCAAGTGTTTGTCTTTACATGTAAGTTGGGTTTATTTATCTCTATTTATCTCAGTCCTCTCTGTCCAGTATGAAGCTTTACTTTAAATTAAACTGCACTTTATGAATAAAATATGAAAAGTATTGTTTTCAAAACGAGCCTTTTAACCATTTTAGTAGCATGAACTAATTGGTATCAAAAATCCAAAGAAATGTTTGGGTTCACGCTTTAATCTGTCTGATGACATCATCGATCCACAAACTTAGATCATCTTTCAGAAGATGGGTGTTATTGTCTTTGCTTTAGCTTCAAGCTAACCTTTTGATACTTTTCAGAAAATGTAATTTCACCTTTATTTAAGAAAGCTTTTTGCTCTTTTTAACTTTTACTTTGCTTTTACTACTTTAGCTTTTAGCCAGCTTTTTGCTACTTTTAGCTTCTAGCTAGGCTTTTAATATATTTAGCTCACCTTCAGCTTTTAGCTAAATTTTTGCTATGCTTTTTGCAATTCTGTTCTGCTGTTTTTAACTCTTTAGCTATAACTCTATCTCGGCTTCTTCAGCAAATTTTTGCAAAGCCGTTCAGACTCAACATTCACAGCATTTTAGCAGGAAATACAATTGTCTGGATGTGTGTATACCAATAAGCTGTAACCAAAGCTGAACAGTTGGTGCAGCTGCAAACATTGTTAGATCTGACAACAGTCTGAACCAGTGGCATCAGGACACGTCTCAATTTAGCAGAAACAAGTTTGCTCTGTCTGTGTGTTTTGAAATGATAAAAGCCAGAGTATTGTTGCCTCATACTCGTTATGGCCAAAGGATCTTTGTTGTATTGTCACCACTGAGTTAACAGTTAACCTCTGATTCAGATCACCTTCCAGCAGGCAGTCACCTGTTTTCTGCGCAGCTGAGCAGTGTACACAAGAGCTGTGTTTAAGTGAAGGCAAATGTGTGAGACCAGTGGAAAGATAAGTCCTGTGATAGGACGATGCAAAACGTTTTATAGTTGTGTTTATAGCCGACACAATCAACAGTAACGGTGAACCACATCATGATGGAGGCTACTTACCAAGAAAGACTCGCGATAAGCCAATGACTGATATTTTTCTAACATTGATGTTTTACCTTTTCCTTTACTGGAAAAAAAAAGTCTCAACAGGCAAGTTTAGTTTAGGTGAAAGAGTAAGAGTTGTAAAAGTGGATTCTCTTCTGTGTGTACACTGAACCGGCCGTAGATGAGCTGAGTGAAGAATGACTCGTAAAACTACCAATAAAAGTCTGAACATTCCTGTTTGTTCAAGGAAATCCTTCTGTTAAACAAAACAAAGGAAGAACACGGCAAGTTCTCCTGAAGGCAATTATAGTGTGTGTGTGTGTCTTCATTACCATTAACAAAATTTTTCATAAACTTGATGTGTTATTATCAAAATTTCAGGTAGTAATTATTGGTTGTTCTGTCTACAGTAGTTTACATTTTGGCTTCAGCTTGATACAAGATAGCATCACAGCTCTAGTGTGAAGGGTAATGGGTAATAAGAAACACCAGGAAACACATTGTATCTGTGACTTTCCTTCCCTCCATTGATTACAGTGACATTATTTACATGAACGCTCCTACAAGAACCCTGCAGATGTTGGATGCTGCAGATGTTGGATGCTGTCTATCATGGTGCACTAAGATTCATAACTGGCTGTAACTACCGTACCCACCACTGCTCCCAGTATTCACTGGTTAACTGGTCATCATTAACTTCAGACTCTCTCACTGGTACATTTTCATCTTTAAATCACTTCTTGGTCTGCTGCCTTCATACATCTCCTCCTACATGTCTCTGTGTGAGTGCAGCTACAGCGTGCACTCTCAGGACATTATTACCTGCAGTGTTCCCTCAGTGAGGACTGAACTAGGCAAAAGGGTCTTCTCCTACTCCGCTCCTGTTTCCTGGAATATCTTGCAGATAGATCTGAAGCTCTCAACCTTGACCTCTCTAAGTGCCTTCAAACATCTGCTAAGTTCATGACACAAACCATTGCTCTGTTTATTTTTTCCAGAATGTCATTCATCGAAAGCCATACCCAGAAGATGAAGACCTTGTGGAAGTAAAGTTTGCCACCACACCCATCATGTCCACATACCTTGTAGCTTTTGTCATTGGCGAATATGACCATGTGGAGAGCCAGTCATCGGATGGCATAACCGTACGCGTCTACACTCCAGTCGGGAAGGCAGAACAAGGGAAATTTGCGTTGGAGGTGAGCATGTTGGTGAAATGGTCCCACAAGGCTGTAAATTAAACTGACAGACCACAGGAGTGTGGACACACTTTGTCCTGACACAGACACAAATGTTGTTGTTTATATTTCTTTGAATGCAGGTTGCAACAAAGACCTTACCTTTCTACAAAGACTACTTCAGTGTTCCTTATCCATTGCCTAAAATTGATCTCATAGCTATTGCTGATTTTGCTGCTGGTGAGTAACAACATTAATATTAAAGGTTTTCTGTCAAAATGTCCAGAAATGTCTTGACTTGAGTATTTTTTCCCATTTAGGTGCCATGGAAAACTGGGGCCTTGTTACCTACAGGTAAAAGAAAAAACTAAAGTCTTGAGATTGTACTACCAGTACATTTAATTTAAACACATTGGGTCAAAACAACTATATTCACTAGACCGGGGGTCTGCAACCTTTAGGATCAAAAGAGCCATTTCTGCCCCTTAGTTCACTAAATTAAATGTGTCCAGAGCTGCAAAACCTGCTTCAATTGTCATCATCAACTGGTGGCCCATGGGCCACTTTAAGTTTATTAGAGAGGGCTTTTCTGGCCAGTAGGCGTGACATTATAAAACTACAAAACATCTAATGATTGCTAACATTTATTGATTTTTTTTTTACATTTTGAGACAAAAGAAAAGACTGGATTTCATCCATCCGTCCGTCCATTATCTTAACCCGCTTCTTCCTTTTCGTGTCACGGGGGACACTGGTGCCCATGTCCAGCAGTCGCTGTGTGAGAAGAGGCGGGGGACACCCTGGACAGGTCACAAGTCGATCACAGAAGACTGGATCCTTGTAAAGAAAAAAAATATTATTTTTGCCACTTTTTTAACAACTAAAACAATGAACTGTGCAGGCATTTGTGATTTATTTTTATTTTTATTTATTTTCATTGTGGAGAAATTGCGTAGAGTTAAAGTGAGTATAATTTACTGTATCATTACTAGTATCCACATATTTGCAAAGGAAACGACAGGAAAACTGCTAAAACTAGTCATTTATTGTTGTTTGTATAACATCCTATAAAATGTAGTTTGATGTTAGTTTTGGTCAAAGCTCTAAAGAGCCGCTGTGGAGGGACTAAAGAGCCACATGTGGCTCCAAAGCCGCAGGTTGCAGACCCCTACACTAGTTGTTTGTGGTTATTAGGTGTTTAAAGTGACAAATTGCTGTGAAACAAGGGATGTGTTTACAGAGTTAAACTTGTACGATTACAGTAACAGCCTGTGTTCTTTTTTTATTGTTGAACATTTTATAATGGAATACCAGTATTAAACAAAATAAAAAGTACAAGAATTAATTTGTCAAACAGTAAACAGTTTAAAGTGTTTCCTAAAGCTCAACCATAAATTCTGCTTTATTTGGTCACAGACTTTATTTTTTTTAAACACTGCAAAACATGAATTGATTAGAGGTGTGCTAAAAGTTCTGATTTCTATTAGTTTATTTTTTTTATCTCGTTTTGTATTGTACCTTGAATACATTTACATTTGGGATTACCATAGATAAAATGTTAACATTTTCAGATGTATCTAAGCATCCAACATGGACGTTATTAATTTAATTCAAGTCTTTTTGAAGCCTTAGGTCCTTTTGGATGAGTGCTGTAATAGCTTTTTAAAATTGCTTTGTGGTGGATGAATTTACTGTCGGAGGTCAACATGTGATCGGCGTAAAGCAGCAGGATCCATTTATGGTCATGGAAAAGAAAAGTCCACTCTCTTTCATTCCTAGGGATCAGGATATAAAATATTTGGGTCTTTTACCAGGTTCTAAAATTATTCAAATCTAACCTCAAGTGAACAAAAGTGCAACAGATTTCAACGTTTTATTATTTATCAGTCAAAAAAACAACTAAAATGGAAAAGATGAGAAAGACCGAGTTCATTCCTGCTGCTTCCACAGGATATCAGAGGTTCAGTAGCAGCTAGGAGCTGCTGATCAACTGTATTGATTAAATGATCATCAGTGTGAGCAGCTCTATAAAAGCAGGAGTTGTCATTTTGCTGCTTTGTGTTATAAACCGTAGATGTGTGTTCACGTAAAGACAAGTTGAACAACATCAGCAACGATCTTGTAGAATCAACTGTTGCTGCCTATCAGTCTGGAAATGAGTTAAAGTTCACGTCCAGACTTTTTAAAGTCCCATCATTCTACATAAAGACGGACGATTCACACGTAAAAAGACCTTTTTTCATCGTCTTCTCAATAGCAAGCGTCGTAGAAAATTTATTTTGGGATGGAGCTTTTTTTGTCTGCTCTCTGAAAAATGCATGGTCAGACCTCAGGCTTTATAGGCCTTAGTTAAAGGTTAAAGTTCATGACAGGATAACTAGAAAAGACTGGCTTGTTTAGAAGGGTTGCAGGAGAAAACTTCTCTAAAGAAGCATGACAACATCACTTATGGCTGCCACAAACTCCACAAAACCAAGAAAAATGTTCTTTCTCTCCCAGGGCTGGCAGAGAAGAATGTCTTCTCTTTCACAGGCCAACTTTAGGAGTTCTAACAGCTTGTTCTTGACACATCACCCGTGCAGAACTTTTGTCTTGTGTGGTGTTTAGCAACTATTGTGTGGTTGGTCAGAAATTTGGTTTATAGAGAAAAGCAGAATCCTGCTTTTAAATGACACAGAAGTTTATAGAGTTGCCAGGATTTCTGTACTTGTTTCTCATGAGGTGTAAGATGTTCAAGCCAGAACAAACTCCAGTCTTGTTCCTGCCACCTCAAGTAAACTTTTTTTCAGAGTCAGAGAGATTTATTTGTCTTTTGCACCTCATGTGGTACATTTGGTGGAATGAGATTATGTACACAGGGTCCCAGTTACATCCAACAATAAAATGTAAAAGAAAAACAGTAATAACATCTAAGATATGAACTAAGAAAAACATCAACTAAATAACACACTAAGCACTAATATTATAAAAACATGAACAATGAACAGCAGCACGAACATGAGTCTGTGTGAACAGATGAGCACAAATGAACACGGCAACATGACACAGATCAGCAGCAACATGACACAGATCAGCAGCAACATGATTTGATTTTTTTCACAGTGATTATTCTGGTTAGAGATTCCTGAGTCTAACAGCCTCAGGGTAGAAGCTGTTCCTCAGTCTAGTGGTTCTACACTTAATGCTTTTCAACCTCCTTCCTGAGGGAAGCGGGGCAAAAAGTGTGTGTGCTGGGTGAGTGAGGTCCTTCATGATGCAAGTGGCCCTCTTCCTGCATCTGGAGGTGTAGATGTCTGTGATGGTGGGGAGGCTGATTCCGACAGATTTCTGTGCAGCTGTATTGTGAAATTCTTTATCAAAGGTTCGTGAACGATCGGCACATATTATTCAGACGAAGGAAAAAATGACACACACAGACTGTAACTTGCTAGAATAATATTTGTCATTTATTAATCTGCCACAAGAAATCACAGCCAAGCAAAAGAGTCATGTACACTCGTACACTCTTAACACACAAATTGATATGAGTATCCCTCACCGTGACAAAATGATCGGGAAGCCTTTCGATCCAATGAGGAGAACTCAATCAGGCGATCTGGCACCGCGCGCTGGTCCAGAACAAGACTTCTAACTCTCTGTGTCTGATACATTTCTTATAAAGGCTTCCCTGATCGCGTGAGAGCAGATCAAAGCAAGTTTTGATGGTTGCCAGGAGAACAGATTTAATTAAATCTGTTTTTCCTTCATCAAAGCAATCTGTGCAACAGAGCGATTTCATATAAACATGTCCTTCAAAACCTGGGTCACTGTAACCTGAAAACGGGGCCCCATCTTCTGGTTAGAGCATCCCCCGGAGGACTTTAATTACTCCAAAACACATCTGCAGCACAGGAATGACTGAATAAGCAGATAAGCTGCATCAAAAGTGAGTATAAGTGTGTTTAAATAAGTATAATATAGGTCTAGATTGGCATAAAAGCATTAAAATAATAATTTCTATATCATTCCACCCTTGCTTTTATGGCAATTTTAGACATTTAATTCTGAATAAGTAACACACACAAAATATATATGTTTGAATTGGCATAAGGGCAACTTCACACCTTATAAAACATATTTTTATATCAGCAGCCTTCACCACTCTCTGCAAAGCTTTTCTTTCTGCAGCTGTGCAGCCTCCATGCCACACGTTGATGCTCGAGCACAGGATGCTCTCCACTGCACACCTGTAGAAGGAGGTGAGGACTGAGCTTCCCAGACCAGCTCGCCTCAGCCGCCTGAGGAAGTAGAGTCTCTGATGAGCTTTCTTGATCAGGCTGGTGGTGTTGTTGCTCCAGCTGAGGTTGTCATTCATGTGTACACCCAAGTACTTGTAGCTGGAGACCACTTCCACCGCAGATCCTCTTATGTTTAGGGGGGTGTAGATGTTTTTGTTCCTTCTGAAGTCCACAACCATCTCCTTTGTCTTCTTCACATTGATGTGAAGGTTGGTCTTCCTGCACCAGCTCTCCAGGTGTTCCATCTCCTGCTTGTAGCTGAAATCATCTTTGTGTGTGATGCATCCCACCACCACTGTATCATCTGCAAACTTTACAATGTGACAGCCTGGATGAGTAGGTGCACAATCATACGTGAGCAGAGTAAACAGGAGAGGGCTCAACACACATCCCTGAGGAGAGCCAGTGCTGAGGGTTATAGTGGAGGAGGAGAAGTTGTGGATCCTCAGACTGTGGTCTTTTTAAGAAATCTAGTACCCAGTTGCAAATGGAGGGGTTTAGTCCCAGTGTGAATAGTTTGTCCATCAGGGTTTTCTCAGTTCTTGTGAATAATTTAACAAGATTTAAGCTTGTTCATTTCAATTTAACTGAACCACAAGACTTCTGGAACAGTGTTCTTTACACTGATAAGATGAGACCCAAATAAAGATTGAACCAACTTTTCCATATCAAAGTTTTCTGCAGTCACATGTGAAGCTGTCTTCAACAACTGTCATAGACTCTCAAGAGACTTATGCAAAACAAGTCTGCTAACTTGAAAGAAAACGTAGTGAAGCCTGTTGAGCTTTTGTACATTTAAGGAAGTGTTTGAATAATTTTAGTACCTGACAGAGACAGCAGGATCTTCTATGCCCTGATATGTAAACCCCCATATTAAAGAGAGTGGACTTTCTTTTCCCCATGCCTGTTTTTATGGTTCTAAGCCATCTTCGTGTTGATTTTCTTCACATCCTTACAGCTCATAAGAACTGCGTGAAGGAGAGAAACCTGCTGTTCACTAACAGATGTTTACTTCCAGCTGTTTTTGTGTTAACCTTGCAGCCATCTTTTTTTCAGGGAGACTGCACTGCTAATCGACCCGAAGAACTCCTGCTCGTCGTCCAAGCAGTGGGTGGCTTTAGTGGTTGGACATGAACTTGCCCACCAGTGGTTTGGAAACTTGGTCACCATGGTAACCACCCACAACACTCAGCATTTATCTTTATTTTTTTACTTTTTATGTTTAGTTTTTTTTTTACTTTACACAAAACATTAATACACAACAAAAATACAAAATCAATTGCCTCCAATGTGTCTCATCAGTGTATGAATGTGATAAAGCTCTGATTATTCTCTTTAGAATGATTTGTTGAATCAGCTTTGTAGAGATCTAGTATAGAGCTGTATGAATGGGTAAATGAGGCACAAATTGTTGTAAAGTGATTTGAGTATCTTGATCAGATAGAAAGGTGTTATATATGTACAGTCCATTTACCATTTATGAGTACGAATGAACACAGCAGCATGAAATTCACATTCATTTCTTGTTCCCATTTTGACTAAACATACAATAAATTATTTCCATCAGTGTTTGGCACAGCTAACCAAAAGGTTAACTTTGCTAACCGCTTAAAAAATATTAGCTTTGCTAACGCTAAACCGCTAAACAAGTTTTAAAAATATTTGCGGAAGCTAAAGCGCTAACTTTTATCGTACGCTGTTGTTGCCGACACTGTAAGACTGTAATGTGACACAGTGGTCACATAATGGTGGCCAGTTATAAAACGGTCATATCGAGTGAAATTTCTCAGTACCTGTTAGAGCCTGGTGTTATATTTTCTTTCTGTGTTCCCTGTGGTACTCCTGAAGCTTTTCTCTAGCTCTCTCGGTGGTGGCCATCATGGTTCCTTGGTGATTGACTACCTGTTGCCATCCCAGCAGTTTCCGGAGCTGTGCTCCCAGTTAGCTGTCGTCTGTGGGCTCTGGCTCCTCCACTGGGAATCCTTGTGTTTTCTTCTCCCGCAGCACCTCCTGCGTGCCGTCATAGCTCTGTTCTTGGGTGCTCCAGTGGATTCTCATCTTGGTGAACGGTGTTTCAAAGTGAATGTTCTTTTCCTTTCGCATTTTCCTTATCCCAACGTACTTTTTCTCCTTTTAACTATCTCTGCCAGGTAGTCATGGTCAGCACACACAGTCTTATTGCAGCAGGATCTTTCCTTTTCTCCAAGCTTCTCTCAGCACCATCTCCTTGGTAGTAAATTCTTGAACGTTAGCGATAATTGGTCTTGGCAGTGGCTCATGTTGGGGTTTAGGAGCCAGAGATTGGTGGACTCATATTTTCAGTTCCAGGTTCAGAGGTGTCGGCAGCTTTCTTCAAAGAAGTGTTTCAATGAACTGAGGTAGCAAGTTTCCTTTTCCTCCCTCCGTCATTCTGTAGATGTGCATGTTATTTCTTCTGGTTCTGGCCTCCAGGTCAGTAAGTTTACGCAGTAAATCTTTTTGCTGGTCCAGGCTGTTAGAGAGCTCTACGGTCACCGCTGCCTCCACTCACATCTCCATCTCACCCACTCGTTCAGACAGGTTCTGCACCTTCGTTGTTGGGCTGTCAGGCATACCTTAAATTTCTTGTCCAAGTTGAGTAATTTCACTTCCTATTCACATTGTCCCCTTTAAGTTCTGTTGGCTCCTTCATCGCTGCTTTTATTTCAGCGAGGTCCATTTTCTGGTGCTAGCTTGTAATGCTTCAATGTATTTTAGCTTTTGTTGTCGAGTTATCTTTTTCTTGAGGTTTTGGCTTTGTAAATGTTATATGGCCTCTAATGAGTCCTTCCCCCTCTTCAAGCTTTCTCTGTCGGATATTACGCTTCTGAGTTATTTTGAGGGATTTGTGCTAGCAGTTTGGGAGAGCGGTTTTCCATGCGTCTGACTCCCATGAGTTGAACCAGAAGTCGAGCAGTTATCTTTTAAATAAAAATATATTTTCATACACCCACACACGTGTACTAGCAAAGAGGTTTGAAAGATCGGGGATCACAACAAAACAAGAAATGACATTTAGCTCCAGGTGAAGAATTGTTGCTAATTATTGTTTCTCTGAGACGGGAGTGGTGGTTTCTCTCTGCAACTACCCCCTCATGAGTAGAGCTGCAACAGTTAGTCAACAGTCCGCTAGTCGACTAAAAAATATTATTCATGCAGATTTTTATTGTTGTTTACAGACCTGGTAATGGAAGGCTATGGGCACATTATTTATTTATTTATTTTTGTAACTGCAATGCACAATTAGAACATCTGGGGTCAACATTGTCTCTATTATTTGCAAAGACTGAATCACTTGAAAATTTGCTGAAGAAGCATCAGTTGAGTTATTTAAGCTAAAACACACAGAATAGTAGCTAAAAGGAGCAGAACAGAAGCTTAAAAAAGCAAAAGCAAAATGCAAGCTAAAAGATAAAAGGAGCAAAAAATAACTAAAAGAAGCAAAACTCTAAAATGACCTAAAAGTTGAAAGATGTACAAATATAGCTAGAAATGGCTAAACAAAGCACACAGGTAGAAGCTAAAAATAGCACTCTAGCTAATAGTAGCTAAATGCTTTAAATCTAAAAATAGCAGAATGGTGTATCAGCATTAACTGAATTGCTGCTGTAGCTGAATCTTTGAATATCAGTATAAATGAGTTTTAAAATTTACACGCATTTACTTTCATTTCGTTTCTGAAACAAAATGAAACTAATTTTTATTCTTTCATTGCCCTTTGGAAATAAGAAGGAGCTTCATGATGAAAATGGAAGAGAAAGAAATTAAAGCATCGGCCCCATCAAGCTAGTATTGATGCGATACAATGCTAACGTTGATATTAGTATGAATATTTTGATCGATCTGCACAGAGTCTTCTAACAAAGAAGAAAAAGACCAACTGTGCATCTGAAGGAGAGGTTTACAAATAAAACAGACTTTTGAGCATTTTACTGAAAGTTAACAAAATATTGAATGCAACTTGTGCGCAGCGGAGGACCCCGCCACCCCCATCACTGCAGTACTGCTGGAGACGGCAGCTTTAAGGGAGTTTTAGAAGTTAATTAATTAGCTCATCATGTTGACTCATGTTTGTTTGTAACCTATCGATTTAAACTGGGCCTCTTGGACGATTGTAAAGCGAACATCATTCAGCTGAATTATGTTTGCAAACATGACCTGTTACAAGCAGTTAATGGAAGGGGGAGTTTCTACACAACCCCATGCCCCACCTCCACCTGCATGTACAATGAGTGTTTTTCTAAATGTAAACCGCTCCACCCAACATTAATCATTCATTTGTAAATAAAGTTGTGTTTTTTTTTTCAGCATAATACTGCACTGCAAAAGTAAATTTATTAAATTAGTGTTTTTGAAATGTACACAGTTAATTTCTTTAATTTAAAGCCTTTTTAAAAAAAAAGGCTTTCAGACCCACCCACACCCATATTTGCACTTTTTGTTTAAAGTTAGAAGCATCGCTTATAAGTACATAACCAAAAAAAGTTTTAATGTGCAACTCAACTAAGGTTGCCTTTTTATGTCTGAATCAGAATCTGTTTTATTTTCTTTGCACAAAGCACAATGAAATTACATTTCAGTACAGCCCAGCCAAAGAACCAAACAAACAAACAGATACAGACTTGGGTAGACAGGGTGACTGAGGCGACAGTCTCTGAGAGGCGCTCCATTTTCATTCGATTAGAAAAAGGGGAACGAGGGAAGAGGGGGCAAAACATCAAATCTCGCACTGTGTTCCTCCAGGACACAGCATGAGGCTGCAAAAACCCCAGCACATAAAAAAACAGCATGAATAGACATATGTGTATGGAGTGGGTGGGGGTTCCAGTACAGGTCGCCAGGTATTGCATATCCTAGGTTGCTGCACTGGGGGAGGGCAATGAGGGAGGCCAGCGAAGGCATGAGTTTGAGGAGCCAGAGCTCCTCTCCTCCGCTGTATAGCTGTCATTTCTGACCCGGAGCCCGGCCCCGCCCGACTTGATTTCGGACAGATGTCTGATACAGGTCCTTGGGTGGGAGGGGCAGAGTGTCTTGTTTCCATAACATCCAGGAGAAATTGAAATAGTCAGCCATCCAAGGCCAGAGCCAGATTCAGATATCAACATTTGTTTTGGGTCAGGCCGAGCTCTGTTAATTTCTATCTGCCTTTACACACTCGCTAGTACATCTCATCTCATGGCGACTCCAAACAGCCAAAATTGTGATTACACACGCCAAGTCAAGCTTACAACTTCTCCGAGATCTATTCCTTCCCACTGTCCATGGACACTGCCAGAAAGTTTCATAGTCCTGATTAAGATGGCACGTCTATCAGCCGGCTCAGCTCTGATACAGGTCCACAGATAGTTCACACAGCATAGTCTGAGTGTTTCCAAGCACAGCACATTCTTCATAATTTGTCGATAATCCAGGTGACCACCAGCTTCAAAAAGCAGAAGTCCTGTTATCCATCCATCCATTATCTTTTACCCGCTTCTTCCATTTTGGGTCACGGATGTCGCTGGTGCCCATGTCCAGCAATCACTGTGTGAGGGTCGGGGTACACCCTGGACAGGTCGCAAGTAATCCTGTTATCATAAATCCAATTATGTACATCCCCCAGGGATGGTGTTCTGTTGAGGTAAGAGGGCTGTCCTTCACCCCGTCTTCTTGTTGAAAATTTTATCAGTTGCGTTGAGAGACCAGCTGACCGATCCATACTTTACAATTCGGAACATATGCAAAAAGAGGCTCTGAAAAAGGTTCACAGGACAAAGAGCAGAGCAGGGAGGATTGTGGATTGTGAGGATTAAAACTAGTTTTATTCCTCCAGTGTTTTGCTGGAAGGATATTCGGAAGAACCGTTTGAGAGACAGTGTCTTGTGTTTTTACACAGGAATGGTGGACCCATCTCTGGCTTAATGAAGGCTTTGCATCCTGGATTGAGTATCTTTGTGTGGACCACTGCTTCCCTGAGTATGACATCTGGACCCAGTTTGTCTCAGCAGACTACACCCGTGCTCTTGATCTGGATGCACTGGACAGCAGTCATCCCATCGAGGTGAGACCAGCAGCAGCCAGCAGGGCTTTACTTTTCACACCTTTGCTTTACAGCTGCAAAACCAGGAAGTTGATCATTTAAAGTGTTGACAGTATGGCTTTGATCAAAACAGTGCTTTTTGTCCTGATGTTCTGTGTTTCAGGTGAATGTGGGCCATCCATCAGAAGTTGATGAAATTTTTGATGCAATTTCCTACAGCAAAGGAGCATCAGTGATCCGCATGTTGCACAACTACATAGGAGATGAGGTTGGTGGACTAACCAGCAGTGAAGCTTTGTGTCTCTTTAAATTGTTTGATATTGAAACCCTGTCCACACAGGAACACTGTATTTTGAAAATAATCTTTCTTTTTAAATATGACAATGTTTCTCCAAAAGTTTTTAACCACACTGAAACACAGAAAACAAGCCAAATGTTGCAGTAGCTGTTCCAGAGCTGTATGTAGTGCCATAACGCTGCCACAAAAATGCTCTAGAAACAGTTAGAGCATTGAAGATGGGTCGTGGCTGGGTCTTCCAACATCACAATGACCCGAAGCTCACAGCCAGGAGAACCAAGGAGTGGCTTCATAAGAAGCAGATCAAGGTTCAGAAGTGGCCTAGCCAGTCTCCAGACCTGAACCCTATAGAAAATCTTTGGAGGGAGCTCAAACTCCGTGTTTCTCAGTGATAGCCCAGAAACCTGCTGATCTAGAGAAGATCTGTGTGAAGGAATGGGCTAAAATCCTGCTGCAATAAACCTGGTGAAGAACTACAGGAAACCTTTGACCTCTGTAACTGCAAACAAAGATACTGTACCAAATATTAACATTGATTTTCACAGGTGTTCAAATACTTATTTGCAGCAGTAACACACAAATAAATTATTTTAAAAAATCATACATTGTGATTTCCGGATTTAAAAAAAATTTTTTTTTAGATTATGTCTCTCACAGTGGACACGCACCTAATATGAAAATTTCAGACCCCTCCATGATTTTTAAGTGGGAGAACTTGCAAAGTTGCAGGGTGTTCAAATACTTATTTTCCTCACTGTATGTGTCACGGTAAACTGCGGTACTAGTGACAGAGTCGTCAGTTTAAATTTACATAATGGATGATTTGTATTCAACATAATGGTACTTCATCCAGTGGTTTAACAGTCAACATTGGTGTACCACAAGGCTTAGGACCCACCCTCTTTACAATCTACATACAGTGTTTCCCCTACCAATATACAAGCGGGACGTCCCGCCCCATCAACAGAACTGAGCGCCACGTCTACCGAACCCCATCCCCCAACCCCAACCACCTGTCGGCACTTACGTAATGCTAAACGAGCGGCTCGCAATGCAGGTGCACTAGCTAAAAAGCTAAAGGCAGCTCTTCCTTCATGCTGAACCCCCCACGGTACAAACAGCGCACGGCTCAGATGTGCATCCGTCTCTCCCCCGTACCAAACTGCAAAGTGGACCCCCACAAAAGTTATATCCAAACGACCGGCCCGGCTCCAAGATGTGTGCTATTACTTTTATTGGCAATTGGCGTTACCATGGCGACATAATTTGCTAACGAAAATGACAAATTTCCAATAGGAAATGAATAGGAGAAAACTTTTCAAAAACTGAGTAACGTCGGGAGCCATTTTGGTTCAACATGCATGGAAGGCACCTATTATCACCTATTATTATTATTAATTAGTAAAAATAATAATTAACATAAATTATTAATGATTCATTTTAATAATTACAAATAATAACATGAATAATTACTACTAATAATAATTGATATTTAATATTAATTATTATTATCAAGTACATTAATAGTTTATAGTGATTAATAAATCTACAATATATTATTAATATTATTAATATTTATTATTATTAATTAATAATAAATCGTCAGTCCCCGTCAAAGTTTCTCCAGGAACTTTCTAGTCTTTTAAATACCATTTTATTTTCACTTGTTAAAAAAATTCTCAATTTGTATGCATGCTTTATGACTGTCTATTGTTGTCCATTGTTGTCATCACTCTTTGTTAAAATCAGGTCCCTCTTGTAAATGAGTCCCTGAGACTCAGCAGGGTTAACCTGTATAAATAAAGGTTGAATGAAAAAAAAAATTTAAGGCAGAGAATCCAGCAAGAAACGGAGGAGAGAATTCTCTTCAAAATGTTCAAAGGGTTTAGGGTAAATTCTTTATGAACAAGTGTTGGTCTTTTAAAACTGTAATTTCTCAACAAAGTCCATGCTCAATAATCCAGGTATACAATCCAACATTTTTCAGTCGGGTCATCTGGACAGTTTCTTTTTTTTTTGTGCTGAAACGTTTTACCTTCGGTCCGAAAGGCTTCATCAGTCAAGGAAACACACAACAAAACTGATTCTACCCCCAACAGTTTACTCGAAAGTGGAACAAACCAGTTCTGATTGTGATAAGATGGTCTGTTTGGTACGCCCCCTCCTCCATTCCCAGCCCTCTTCCTTGTTGACAGTCTTGTCAAACTGGTTGAAAACAACAAATTTCTCAAGTTTTCTTAATTATATACTTTATGTATTTTTTTATACGTATAGTATATACTTTTTTTTTCCCTCCAACTTTTGCTTTAGTATTGTTGACAGTTTAATAAAGTGATAAAACCCTTCTGGCCTTAGATTTGGTGTAATAAGTAATAATAGTACTTCTGCTGCTCTACTTATGAGAGTTTTATTTTTTTTACCAGTCTTGTCTGCTCGTTGAAGTTTTACAGGTTATGACCGTTTTGCTGTAGTTGAGCTACTGACATCTGAAAGAATCATTTAATTTGTCTGGGTTGTAGGTTAGGCAGAAGGTGGGTCTATGATACGGTTTTTGAAAAGTTTTGAGTTCTCGTGTGGACGGCCTAAACACAACATGACGAGTAATGATTTTCTCACTCTGCAACACAGTTTCAAAACATACTATTTATGTGTTCCTAAAAAGCTGTTCTATTTCGTATAGGCTTCACCCTTTAAGGCTATCGCTAGTGGGTTTATCCCTTTGCGCACAGCACAGCACTGAAAACTTTAGTCCGCGCCCACCGGCTGTGTGGGACCCACCCCCGGTACCGGGCAATCGGCTCCCATTTCTTCTTCTGCCAGCTAGCTAGCACTGTCAGAAGAACAAAGAAGGAAAAGATGTCCAGCTTTGACCAGCACAACTTTTGCTAAGGAAGCCTGGGTCTCCGCCACGCCAACCTCCTGCCGTCCCGGTGAGCTCTTCCTCCCCGAGAAGAAGCAGAGACGAGCAGTCTTGTTCAATGTAAGTGTCGAGGAGTGTTTTTCCGTGGCGGGCCGCTACCCGCTGGATGACGCCATCGCCTTTTCTAACGTTTTTCCTCGTGGCGAATCGGATGATTCCCTCGAAAAAGTCAATGTTGGCAGCAGCCCCACTGAATGTTTTTTTGTGGAGGGCCGCTACTCGCTGGACAACGCCACCACCTTTTCTAACGTGTTTTTCTCGCGGTGAATCGGATGATTCCCTCAAAAAAGGCGTTGTTGGCAGCAGCTCCGCTGAGTGTTTGTCCATGGCGGGACGCTGTGCGGGGGACGACGCCACCGCCTTTGACACAGAGTCACGCAGTGAATCGAATAATTCCTCCGAGAAAGGCGATGCCGGAAACAACCTCGCAGCCCCTTCCCTCCTGGAGAGCGTAGTGATGGAAGAAGAGCGGTCGAGCGGCTGCTCAGCCACCTCGGGTTTTCCCACGTCGGCGACCACACCGCTCCCAGTCGTCAGCGCCCTCCTCTCGGAGCTGCCTGGCATAATACAGGAGGCTGCTAACACAAAGGGACTTTCCATCCCTTGCCTCCCTCCACCCTGATCGGATGATCTGGCGGGAAGGTTTGGCTCCGCCCCGGCTCGTCGCCCTGACCCCATCTGGCCTCACTGTCCAGCTGTGACGTCACACTGGAACGAGGCTGCAGCTGGACCCAGCAAGCTGAAGACATCCGTCTCCACCTTCGCCTCCATCTCCAGAGTGGAGGGTTTTACTGATGGGTGTTTTTCCCTCGGTTCCCCCCCCTGGAGCCAAGCTTGGCAGAGGTGCTTGGGGCAAAAGCTTCCAGGATGGATCAGCAACCTGTCCCTTCAGGGAAGCATGACCAGATGGTGACAAAGGTCTCCAACCGAGCTCACCGTTGCTCATTCCAGGTGGCTGTGGTGAATAACAACGTCGCCTTGCTGGCCTACAGCATCTCTAAGAGGCTGGAAGAAGTAGACCTGCTGGAGGAGACAGAGCTCTCTCTGTAAAGCTGCTGATGTCATCTTAAACATGTGCACCACCTCTGCGGTCTGCCTGTCCCGCATCGCCGCCTGAATGACCATGATCCAGAGGACCACTTGGCTCCGCCTCTCGCCATCCCTGTCCGAGAGGCTGCAGAAAGACTGGCTGGAGGGCCCCATCACCCCAGAGGTGCTGTTCGGGGCCAACTTCAGGACCATCCTTGAGGAATCGCAGAGGTCCGAGGAGGTCTCAGAGACTGCATACCATCTGGTGATGTCACAGTCCATCTGCCCCTCCAGCCGCTGAAGGGACCGCCTTGGCCAGCAATAGTAATGGAGGTGCTCCACAGCTGCGGCAGCGACTTCACGCTCCGCTCCTCCACGCTCCGCTCCTCCACCAGCCCCCTCCACCAGGGGAATGTGTGTTTTTTGATGATGTATGTTTTGAAATATAACAGAAACATCTCTGAAAGTAAAGTTTCATCTGATTCCAGCCTGACCGTCAGATCAACTGATCTCACAACTGCCTCTCTTCACACTTTCCCCACACAGAACGAGCCGGTAACTTCTAAATGGCGTTTTAAATGGCACTGCAGTTCTGTAAATATCACAAAACACTTGTCTGCCACGTTAGCTAAAAATGATGTTTTTTCAGCAGACAGAGTCCGGTAAAATCCCTCGTTCTCAGCCAGAGCCAGTTTTTATTTTCCGCTGTTTTCTGCCCACTCACCGTGCAGCGGGAGTTAACGTGTTTCTTCATGACAGCTGGAGCCTTCACCAAAACGGCATTTCACTCAGAAAGTGCTCACACCTCCTCTCGGTGTGTGCCGGCTCACGTCAGCTCTAACGTGAGACTGCAGCCTGGGCTCAGCACAGAGACACACATACAGCATTTTTCTGTCAGAGCCCCTGTTACAATCCGTAACCTCCATTGTTCCTATTCACAGCAGGTCTGTTATCTCAGCCTTTTTTCCTCACCAGAGATCCTTTCTCTGGTGCGCTCCTGCGCATGGAGCGTGTATTTACGCAGTGCGTAATTACGCACACAGAAGGCTGAGTGATTAAATGTTTTTTGTGTGAAAGCAGGTGCTTCATGTTGTGTCTGAATGGACCCAGTGAGGCATAGACTACATCCTGCTTCGCCTTTAACCCACTAGTGATAGCCTTAAAGGGTGAAGCCTATACGAAATAGAATGTTGGTTTACGTACTGTAACCCCAGATTCTATGAGTATAGGTGCAGCCCTTTAAGGAAGAGGGCCACCTGCATCATGAAGGACCACACTCACCCAGCACACACACTTTTTGCCCCACTCCCCTCAGGAAGGAGGTTAAGGAGCATTAAGTGTAGAACCACTAGACTGAGGAACAGCTTCTACCCTGAGGCTGTTAGACTCATGAATCTCTAACTAGAATAATCACTGTGAAAAATCACATCATGTTGCTGCTGATCTGTTTCATGTTGCTGCTGATCTGTTTCAATGTTGATGTGTTCATGCGTGCACATCTGCTCACAGACTCATGTTCATGTTTGTGCTGATGTTCAATGTTTTATGTTATGAGTGCTTAGTGTATATTTAGTTGATGCATTTCTTAGTTCATATCTTAGATGTTATTACTGTTTTTCTTATACATTTTATTGTTGGATGTAACTGGGACCCTGTGTACATAATGTCGCTCCACCACATGTACCACATGAGGTGCGAATGACAATAAAGAAACTCTGACTCTGACTCTTAAGCTCTGGGCCTCACTGGTTCCTAAATGGCTGAAGAAAAAAGCTATTTGGGAGCCGATTGCCCCGTCTCACTAATTTATACGGACCAGGGGTGAGGCCCACACAGCAGGTGGGCGCGGACTAAAGTTTTCAGTGCTGCGCTGCACGTGAAGGGATAAACCGACTAGCGATAGCCTTAAAGGGCTGCGCCTATACTCATAGAATCTGGGGTTACAGTATGTAACCAACGTTTCCATCTGAACACAAGGCTGCAACGGTTACAAAAAAACCCACAAAAAAAACCTTTGCATATCCATAAAACTTTGTTCCTGTGTGGACAGGGCCTTAAACTGATTTCTTATCCTTTCTCTGCAGGACTTCAGGAAAGGAATGAATGCATATCTTTTAAAATTCCAACATAAAAATGCATCAACAGGTAAAAAGAATTCAAGAAACACTGTTTGTGTCTAGATAAAGCCAATAAGCAGATGGATTTTAAGAGCAGCAGACACTTTTTTCTTCTGTTGGTCCTTCTTTCCATCTTTCTAGCAGTTATGGGTATTTGGCCACCATGACCCTTCTGAAGAACTAGATGAGCACTAATTACACCCCCCATATAAAAAACATAATAAAACAATCTGTTTCCTGCAGAGGATCTGTGGGACTGTCTGGAACAGGCCAGTGGGAAACCCATTGCTGCAGTGATGGGATCGTGGACCAAGCAAATGGGGTTCCCAATAATAGTAGTAGATCAGGAACAGGTGAGTTCTTCTCTCTCGTAGAACTGATTTAGTGTCAGGAGAAATGTTGTTAATCCAAACGCAAACGATCTACACTAGAAAACACTGTGACTGGACAATTATGCACAAACTAAACCAATCATTTTAGGACTTCCAGTATTTTTGTTTTAGTTATAGATTGAATAAACCAGTTGAATAAGGATCTGCTAGCTGGTTATCTTTCTGCTTTCTTGATACTCTCCTTATAACCATAATGTTATTTGTAGCGAGGTGATGACTGCATACTTAAGATTTCTCAGAAGAAGTTCTGCGCCAGTGGACCACATGATGGTGAGTAAGTTTCACACAGCTTTATGTTGAACAGTCAAACACTTGGTGCCAAGCTAACGCTGCATCGTTGGTTTGATTAGCATCTTTTGTTTCTCCAAGTCTTCAATCACAGAGCTGGTAAACATGATCCACATCACATTTTTGTCCCATTTATGAGGCGTATGATATTTTTGAGTCTGAATATGACAAATGTTTTAGTTTTTTCCTAAATCCAACCCGCATCACTTTTTTTATATGTGGTACTAAATCAGATTCATATGTGGTGTTTTTCAAAGCAACCAGTCTGAACAGTCACGTCGCATTTCATCAGACTTTTTTACCTTGTTGAAATGGGGGTATGCAGATCGATTCAGATGTTAAAATATTAAGACTAAAGTCATGATGTCATGAAGCCTGGAACCCCACACTTCTTCAGCTGCAAAACAGAAGTCCAGTTGCTTCATTTTTTTTATTTTAAACAGGTCTCTCTTGTAAATGAGCCCCCGATGCTCAGTGAGACTAACCCCTTGTAAATAAAGGTTGAGTGAATTTTCTTTTACTTTCTAAATGTGCAATGTATTGGATGACTGAGAATCTACACCAACATATGATGCCAATGATGGTGTCAGAGTGCATCAATACTAGAGTGATGGGATTGATGCTTGTTGCTACCTTCAGTACGTCGGTCCCATTCCAGAAGTACTGTTTTGTGCTGGAATAGGTGGGAAGCGGAAAGATGAAGTGTAAACATTGAATGAAACAAGCATGGCAGATAATTTAATCTACCGTATTTTTCAGACTATAAGGCACACTTAAAATCCTTTAATTTTCTCAAAAATCGACAGTGAGCCTTATAATCCGGTGCATTTTCTGTTTGTGCTTACTGACCTTGATCCGGCTTGATGTGATACAACTGAACAATGTTGAGTTATTGTGAATGAGTTGAATAAAGTTTGACTAATCTGTTTTCATCATCATCGTCAACTTTATTTATAAAGCACTTTAACACCAGCCACAGTTTGGTTTTGCTTAATGTGCCTTATAATCTGGTGCGCCTTATAGTCCGAAAAATACAGTATTCTGATTGCAGAACAATTTTATGACCAACCTACACATGCTAACATGACATAGCAGTGTGCCGAGAGTGACCTCGTGTCTTCTTCTGTGCACGAGTTACTTTAGGGTCGGAGAACGTTGGTGGAGGTTTCATTTTATTTACGTGAACACATGCAAAACGATCAAATCTGAGCAAACAATCAGCACTTAGCAAAAGGACATGCAATGTGATCTTGGACTTAATCTAACCAGCTGCACACAGACAAACCTAAAGAAGACGTCCATGTGTGCAGCTGTCTTCCTGTGGGTTTAACTCACACTGTCGTGTCTGTTGTTCAGGTGAGAACTGCCCGACTTGGATGGTCCCTGTTAGCATTTGTACTAACAAGGACCCCAAATGCACCAAACTCAAGTTTCTGCTGGACAAACCAGAGGACACCATCACTGTGAGCGGTGTTGGCCCGGACCAGTGGGTCAAGGTGAGATCCTGCTGCACTTTCAGGACATGATCATTGAATGTGCATCTACAACTGAGTAACCTTTGGAGTCTACTTGATTCAAGATGGCTGCTACTTCTAATCCACATTAGGCAACACAGAAATGGCTGTAACTCTCAGTTTTCCAAAAATTAACTTAAACTTTGATGTGCTGGTAGCCGAGAGTCTTTCAGAACTCGTCCTCTGTGAGAATGTTATTTCCAAGTTTTACCAAAATGGCTATGACTCTTTTCTCATAATTAGATTATCTTCGTTCAAAGAACTCTTACAAGCAAGGCGCTGGGCGATATGCATTCTTATTAGTTTGCCGGGGCTTCAGTTATACATTATGATTCTCTTGAAGCTGAGTTGAGTAAAAAAGAAAAATCCTTCCTACAGTCTGATGCAATAATTTTCTGCTGTTTACAGATCAACCCTGGAACTGTGGGCTTCTATCGCATCCAGTACAGCTCATCCATGCTGGAGAGTCTGCTGCCGGGAATCAGAGACCTCAGCCTGCAGCCTGTGGACCGTCTCGGCCTGCAAAATGACCTCTTCTCCCTTGTAAGCCTCACTGACGCACACACATCCACACAAAGTGGAGGGTGAGAAGAATGCAGACAGGCACTCTGACTGCATACTTAGTTATTCTTGACTTGTCTGCATGTGCATATTTGTGATGGAATAAGGAAATAGAAAGGTTTCTGATGTGCACCTTAATCCCACTGTGAAGTATTTCCACAGACTGTTCAGCATTTTTAGAGCAGCCTAAAAACACTACTCCTTTTTATTTCTGTAGCTGTTCTCAAGTTTAGATGGTTTCATGGTGTTTTCTCAGCCATGACAGAAAATACCAGAGAATGTGTGTCAGCTACAAAACAAGATGGAGCTTAAAACGTTTACTATGATGCACCCGCATCATAGTAAACGTGTACATGTACATTTCTATTTAACTGAATGTTGCAGAGTTAGTGGGAAACTTTTAGGTTCCTCACAACTCGATCTGATTACTATTCAGATTTAAATGTTTTAATGCATCTTGATTATCTGTAATTATCAGGTTTGTGAGTAAAGGACAACAGGAAGCTGTAAGCTATGAGAACACTGAAGTACAATTAACCAACCCTGATTGATGAGCAACTAATAAAGCCTGATTTGCATGTCTTTATACCTAATAAAATGTGCACATTAACAATTCGCTTCTTGTTCTTCACTGGAAATTTCTACAGAATCTTATGGAAGTAAAGACAGTCCTATTATTCTAACCTCGAATAATATTTCCACAGATAATTGCTCAGAGTTCAGTGACGTAAATATAAAATGTGAAAACATTTTTACTGCAACACGTTTCTACCGCAGGAAGAGACGGTAACTCTAGTGGGACAGACCGTACCGTGCAGCAACTAGTCTGCTGACACTTTTTAAAAACGGCAGCACAGGTGATTGATCACAAATCAGTTTTTAACCTTTAAAAATAATTTCAGTTTGATCCATGTCTGCAATGCATTTAGAAAATAATCATCCTAATGAGCATATGTATTCATTTCAGTCAGCCACGACTCCTTTAGGTTGTTGAGTTGCTGCTTCTAAAACTTTGGTCTTGATTCATTGAGTGTAACCAGCTGACATTTTGGTTTTATTGTCTTTGTTTGTGTTTGAGACTCTGAGGTTCTGATTGTTCTGTTTCATTTAGTCCCGTGCAGGGATGATCAGCACGGTGGAGGTACTGAAGCTGATGGAGGCGTTTATCAACGAGCCCAACTACACTGTGTGGAGTGACCTCAGCTGCAACCTGGGTGTGCTATCATCGCTGCTGTCCCACACCGACTTCTACGAGGAGATCCAGGAGTTCATCCGGGACCTCTTCACCCCCATCGGCCTCAAGCTGGGCTGGGACAGCAACGCAGGGGAGGGTGAGGACGTGCTCAGCTCTAACCTGTCTAATCTAGTCTTAATAACTAAGATTATTCATTTATCTCTCTCTTCTGGTTTTGTCCCACCATCACTCAAAACTGCTGCAATAACTCCAATTCTTAAAAAAACAGGCGCTGATCCAACTAACTTAAATAACTTTAGACCAATTTCTAACCTACCCTTCATTTTCAAAATACTTGTAAAAACAGTTGCAGCCCAGGTTCACAGTCATCTTTCTGATAATAATCTGTTTGAAGAGCTTCAGTCAGGTTTCCGCCCCCTCCACAGCACTCAGACAGCTTTGATTAAAATCACCAACGATCTCCTGGTTGCTGCCGACTCTGGACTTTTACCAATTCTCATCCTCCTTGACCAGAGTGCAGCATTTGATCCCATTTCACACAATATTCTTCTTGATCGATTACGTTCCATTGGTTTTTCTGACATTGTTCTGAATTGGTTTCATTCTAATCTCTCTGACCGTCAGCACTTTGTTCAACTTAAGAACTGCAAATCACAGTCATCCCCAGTTATCTCGGGTGTACCACAGGGTTCTGTTCTTGGTCCTCTCCTGTTTATCATTTATCTTCTTCCAGTTGGTCTCATTTAAAAAAAAAATTGGTATTAATTTTCACTGCTATGCAGATGACACCCAGCTCTTCTTCTCCACCATGCCCAACACCACTTTTCCACCACCCTTCCTTTCAGACTGCCTCTGTGAAATCAAATTAAGGTTTAATCGAAACTTTCTTAAATTGAACTCCAAGAAAACAGAACTTCTCCTTGTTGGCACCAAGTCTACCTTATCCAAATATAATAGGTTCACAATTAAAGTCAAGGGCGTCAGAAACATCCATAACGTGGGGGGGACACAATGTGTGTAGGTGTGTGTGTGTGCACACGTAAAAAAAAAGTGTAGGCTACACTAGTGAACAAAAAAGCAACATTTCACCTAGATTTCCTTTAATTCCACACACTTAAAACATGTTTCTCACCAAGTTTGTGTAAATTTATCTGCGGGTTTTAAAGACATTTTAACTTTAATACACTTTAATACGGAGCGTCAGATCTGCACTATTTGTCTTTATAGAGAAATAAAAATCATCACCACTAGACTTTTTTACTTGTGTTCAACACGACTCATCTAAAGGAAGTTTCTCATGAAGCTTGAGGACAATAAGGTGTGGTGTTTTAAAGACATTTCAACTTTAATACACCTGAACACACAGCGTCTCTTACACCTGCTGCGTCTTACAGCGTCACAGTTACTGCTAAGCTAAGATGCTACAGATGTAGCTCCTCTCAAGCATCCTCCTAACATGAATATATGTTTATGATCAACCCCCTGGTCAACAACTGCCCGCACTAAGCTGCTAAACTGGCGAGCGAGTAACACAGAGATGTCTCCATCTCCTCCACCTGTGTGCGTTTTCTGCTGAGGCAGGAGGAGACGTAGAGGAGAAACAGTGAGTTGAAGGTAACCAGGAAAACCTGGAGTGGAGTTTTAGAGGCTTGACTATTCTCCTATTGATCAAGTGGAATGGATTTGTTCACAAAGAAAGAGAAACTGTGCCGCCTGAACTAATGTTTCATTGTAAAAGTGGGAGGATCCAAATTAAAGTTGTTTTTTTTAATGTGGGGGGGACATGTCCCCTTCACATATAATGGTTGCGACGCCTATGATTAAAGTTGATAATTCCAGTTTCTTCCTCCCCTACAGCTAAGAGTCTGAGTGTCATTCTTAATAACACTTTCTTTTGAATCTCGTCTCAATAACGTTACTCGGTCTTCATATTTTCATCTTCAAAACATCAACAGTCTCTGTTCATTTCTTACGTCCACCAGTACAACCATCCTTATCAATGGTCTAGTCACCACTCGATTAGACTACTGTAACTCCCTCCTCTCAGATCTTCCTCTTAAAATCATCCATAAACTTCAGCTTGTTCAAAACACAGCTGCCCGGATCATCACTAGAATATATCGAAGGAACACATCACCCCTATCCTTAAACATCTTCACTGGTTACCTGTAAGATAAACATCTTCACTGGTTACCTGTAAGATAAACATCTTCACTGGTTACCTGTCAGATAAACATCTTCACTGGTTACCTGTCAAATAAACATCTTCACTGGTTACCTGTCAAATAAACATCTTCACTGGTTACCTGTCAAGTAAACATCTTCACTGGTTACCTGTCAAATAAACATCTTCACTGGTTACCTGTCAAATAAACATCTTCACTAGTTACCTGGCAAATAAACATCTTCACTGGTTACCTGGCAAATAAACATCTTCACTGGTTACCTGGCAAATAAACATCTTCACTGGTTACCTGTCAAATATCACATTGACTTTAAGATTCTCCTCCTCACTTTCAAAGCTCTCCATATCTTGGCACCTCTGTACCTCACTGATCTTCTTTGCTATTACACACCTGCCCGAAGTCTTCGCTCCTCTCATCCATCTCTCTTGTAATACCTCCTGCCTGCATGACAACCATGGGATCCAGAGCCTTCTCCTGTAAAGCCTCTTGTCTCTGGAACTCTCTTCCACAGCACATCTGTAATTTTGATTTAAATCTAAACTTAAAACTCACTTTTTCAAACTTTCTTATTCTGTTTAATGTCATTATGTTTACTACCATTAATTGTTTGATTTTATTGATATCTTTCACCTTTCCCGCCCACATTTTGATGTTGCCAGTCCAGGGAGTTGAACCAGTGACCTTCTGATCACATGTTCACCTTCTCTACCCTCTGCTCCACCACACCCCCAACCTGAACATTATTTAGTTAAGATGCAGAAACGAAAACAAACACGGATTATTGGGCTATAATTTTCTGTACAGTGTTTTATGCAGTTACTGCAGTATTTATATATATGTTGTGTTGCTGTAGGTCACCTGGACGCCCTCTTGAGAAGTCTGGTTCTGGGGAAACTGGGTAAAGCAGGACACAAACCCACCCTGGAGGAGGCCAGACGGAGATTCAAGGAGCATGTTGAAGGCAAACAGATCCTGCCTGCAGACCTGAGGAGCCCTGTAGGTGATCCGTGCTTACCTGATAACCACTATGTTTAAGTTTTATATATTACCACTACTTCTACACAAGGGTGGGTTTAAATCTGTAAAATATATTCAGGTTACACCTTAGAGACCTGTTTGTCTTTATTTGTTCACCTCATGTTCCTTTAACTGTTTGCTATGATTTATTTTTGTTCGTCCCACAATAAGACGGCCTTCATTCACTTCTCCATACATTCACTGAAACAAGTGACGGCATGAAGAGCAGTGATGCAAACGAGCTGCACATCGACTTGAATCAGTGGAAAAGAAGGGAAAAATATTTGACTGTGTTGTTTTCCTTTTAGTCAGATGTCAAAATCAAAAACTAGGTTTAGCTTGGTGCTCAGTGTGTCTAAGTGATCATTTTACAGCTGGAATAACCTCACATCTGTATGACAGAAGACACTGCAGCCAGTTCAGGCTCAGAGAGTTAAAGTGAATGTGAACCTGCATTTTTTTCAGGTTTACCTAACAGTGCTGAAGCATGGTGACAGTGCCACGCTGGACACGATGCTGAAGGTAAGTTTTTACTCTTTACACTGTCAGACGCTTATTTAAATAAAAAACCCTATGAATGTGTCTGTTATTAGATGTTTCTTTGAAAATTTGACTCCCACCGACAGTCCTGTCATGTTCTTAGAGTCCTCTCTCTCCTGAGGTCATCCGTTACCTTAGTTTCCACTGTAAACCATGATGGCAGAAATAGATGCTGGAATACTTTAAAATAATAATAATATAAAATTTAACGGTTCCAGTAATTTTTCTAATTCACAAATAATAAATTATTTTAAACATCCATCTATCCATCCTTCTTCTTTACCCACTTTTTCGTTCAGAGTCATGGTTATACTGGTGTCTATCTCCAGCAGTCATTGTGTGAGAGGCAGAGTAGACCCTGGACAGGTCTTCAGTCCATCACAGGGCCCATAGAGACCAACGAGACAAATCTATTCACACTCCCAGTCAGGGACAACTTAAAGTTCACCTAATAGTGCTGGGCAGGGATGATGTCACAAGTATTGCAGGGAACCCTGTACGGTGGTGTTTGAATGTTCATGAAGCCTGTAGAACTACAAACCTGATTCCAAAAAAGTTGGGACACTAAACAAATAGTGAATAAAAACTGAATGCAATGATGTGGAGATGGCAAATGTCAATATTTTATTCGTAATATAACATAGATGACAGATCAAAAGTTTAATCTGAGCAAATGTAACATTTTAAAGGAAAATATGTTGATTCAAAATTTCAGTGTCAACAAATCCCAAAAAAGTTGGGACAAGTAGCAATAAGTGGCTGGAAAAAGGAAATTGAGCATATAATGAACAGCTGGAAGACCAATTAACACTAATTAAGTCAATTGACAACATGATTGGGTATAAAAAGAGCTTCTCAGAGTGTGTCGGTGTCTCTCAGAAGCCAAGATGGTAAGAGGATCACCAATTCAATTCAGTTTATTTATATAGTGCCAAATCACAACAAATTTGTCTCAGGGCACTTTACAGGAACATTCACATACATAAAAGCCAATTAGTAATGTTCTCTATCTAAGGAATCCAGCAGACAAGTTGAATCTTGGCCTCGTGGCAGTCTCCCATCCTGAGAAAGCACAGTGGCAACAGTGGAAAGAAAAACTCCCTTTTAAAAGGAAGAAACCTCCAGCAGAACCAGCTCAGGACAAGAGGCCATCTGCTTTGACCGGCTGGTTGAGAGGACAGGAAGGAGACAGACAAATTCCACCATTGTTGCGCAGAAAGATAGTGCAGCAATACCAGAATGGTGTTACCCAGCATAAAATAGCAAAGACTTTTAAGTTATCATCATCAACCGTGCATAACATCATCAAAAGATTCAGAGAATCTGGAACAATCGCTGTGCGTAAGGGTCAAGGCCGTAAAACTCTACTGGATGCTCGTGATCTCCGGGCTCTTAAACATCACTACACCTCAAACAGGAATGCCACTGTCAATGAAATAACAGAATGGGCTCAGGAATACTTCCAGAAATCATTGTCAGTGAACACAATCCACCGTGCCATCCGCCGTTGCCAGCTGAAACTCTACAGTGCAAAGAGGAAGCCATTTCTAAGCAAGCTCCACAAGCTCAGACGTTTGCACTGGTCCAGGGGTCATTTAAAATGGAGTGTGGCAAAATGGAAGACTGTTCTGTGGTCAGATGAGTCACGGTTTGAAGTTCTTTATGGAACACTGGGACGCCATGTCATCCGGACCAGAGAGGACAAGGATAGCCCAAGTTGTTATCTTCGCTCCGTTCAGAAGCCTGCATCACTGATGGTATGGGGTTGCATGAGCGCTTGTGGCATGGGCAGCTTGCATGTCTGGAAAGGCACCATTAATGCAGAGAACTATGTTCAGGTTCTAGAACAACATATGCTCCCATCTAGACGTCATCTCTTTCAGGGAAGACCCTGCATTTTTCAACATGATAATGCCAGACCACATTCTGCAGCAATCACAACATCATGGCTACGTAGGAGAAGGATCCGGGTACTGAAATGGCCAGCCTGCAGTCCAGATCTTTCACCTATAGAGAACATTTGGTGCATCATAAAGAGGAAGGTGCGACAAAGAAGGCCCAAGACGATTGAACAGTTAGAGGCCTGTATTAGACATGAATGGGAGAGCATTCCTATTTCTAAACTGGAGAAACTGGTCTCCTCTGTCCCCAGACGTCTGTTGAGTGTTGGAAGAAGAAGGGGGGATGCCACACAGTGGTAAAAATGGTCTTGTCCCAACTTTTTGGGGATTTGTTGACGCCATGAAATTTGGAAACAACAGATTTTTCCCTTAAAATGATACATTCTCTCAGTTTAAACTTTTGATCTGTGATTTGTGTTCTATTCTGAATAAAATATTAGATGTTGGCACCTCCACATCATTGCATTCAGTTTTTATTCACAATTTGTTTAGTATCCCAACTTTTTTGGAATCCGGTTTTGTATATTTCTTCATAAATATGACCTAAAACTTCATCAGATCTTCACACAAGTCCTAAAAGTAGATCAAGTGAACCCAGTTAGAACCCAGGATGTCAGATGGCATGAACAATGGCCACCTCCATTGCTTTTGTCTACGTTAACCTCAGCAAAGATGACGTCTCCTTAATGCATAGAAAGGTTCAGTTTTAGCATTACTCACCTGCAAAACGAGCACATTAAAAATCTTTAATGACTACAGCTGAGTTTTTGTTTCCATGGTGACACCGGAGCGCTGCATGTCTCTGTGATCGTGCTAAATTTTTCCTTTTGGACTTTGTTATTGGGCCTGGATGCAGTGTTGTTTGCAGGCAGGGTGCTCGGTTCTGTTGAAACACTGGGATGCTTGTTAGTTGTTTAGCCACCTGTTGTTATGGTTTATATGCATTTATATTGTTGTAAACAAAAACAAATAGGTCCCAACATTTTTCTGTCAGGGCGTCTGGACAGTTTCTTTTTTTTTTGTGCTGAAACGTTTCGCCTTCCATCCAGAAGGCTTCATCAGTCAAGGAAACGCACAACAAAACTGTTTCTTCCCCCAACAGCTTACTCCAAAGTGGAACAAACCAGTTTTGTTGGAGATAAGATGGTCTCTTTGGTACGCCCCTCCTCCATTGCCGGCCCTCTTCCTTGTTGACAGTCATGTCAAACTGGTTGAAAATAACAAAGTCAAGTCAACTTTATTTATAGAGCACATTTAAAACAGAACCTGTTATCAAAGTGCTTAACAACAACAACAACAACAACAACAACAATCAATGAGAGTAAAATTAAAGAGAGAAAAAAAAAAAAAATATATATATATATATATATAATGTACAATACACTAATAATAATAACTGAAGAATTAATAAAAAGCATTTAAAACATAGGGTCACAGGTAAAAAAAAACACTAGATCAACTCTCACTGTGTGAAATGCCTGCGAGAACAGCTGTGTTTAAAGCAGGGATTTGAAGTGAGGAAGGGAGGTGTCCTGCCTGATGTTGGGGGGCAGGTTGTTCCAGAGTTTGGGGCCCATGACTGAAAAAGCCCGATCTCCTCTGAGCTTCTTGTTTTTGGAACAGCCAAAAGCAGCTGATCGGATGATCTCAGGGCCCGAGAGGGAACGTAAGGTTCCAGTAGCTCAGAGAGGTTCAGGGGTGCGAGGCCATTTAGGCATTTGAAGGTCAACAGAAGAATTTTAAAGACTATCCTCGTACGAACAGGGAGCCAGTGAAGGGAGGACAGAACTGGAGTAATATGTTCAGACCTACGAGTTCCGGTTAAAAGCCGAGCAGCAGCATTCTGGATGAGCTGAAGACGTGAGATGGAGGCCTGGCTGATCGCAGCATACAGTGTGTTGCAATAGACCAATCGGGTCGTGACAAAGGCGTGGACTAGTTTCTCAAGGTCGGGTCTGGACAACACTGGCTTGAGCTTAGCTACCTGCCTTAGTTGGAAGAAGCTTTTCTGCAGAACAGAGTTGATTTGTTTGTCAAACTTGAAGTCAGAGTCTAAAACCATCCCGAGATTCTTACCAGACTGCTTCAGATATGGCTGAAGAGAGTCCAGGTTGACAGGATCAGTGGCAGCAGTTGAGCTATGGCTAAAGACAATGACTTCAGTCTTGTCATTGTTAAAACTTAAGACATTTGAAGCCATCCAGGCCTTAATGTCATCCAGACATTTTAACAGAGGGTGAATGGAGCAAACACTTGCTGGTTTCACAGGCAGGTAGATCTGACAGTCATCAGTATAACAATGGAATTAAGGACCATGTTTCCTCAGGATGGACCCCAGTGGGAGCAAATAAAGTGAGAACAGAAGGGGTCCAAGAATCGAACCCGGTGGGACCCCGAAAGAAAGAGGTAATGAAGCGGATACATTATTACCAACCTTGACACAGAAACTCATGCCACTCAGGTATGAGCGGAACCATTCTAATGCAGCACCTGTGATCCCAACCCACTGTTCCAGACGTGATATAAGGATACTGTGGTCAACAGAATCAAAAGCAGCAGTAAGGTCCAGGAGCACAAGTACCACAAATTGACCAGAATCGTTTGATATCATAATATCGTTACAAACCCTTTCTAATGCTGTTTCAGTGCTGTGGAGTTGCTTAAAACCAGATTGAAAAATCTCAAAGATTCTGTTCTCATTCAAAAACTTGTTTAATTGAATGAAAAGTATTTTCTCCAGGATTTTGGACAGGAAGGGAAGTTTTGAGATTGGTCTGAAAGACAAATAGGCTTTTGTTGTAAGTCACATGACCACGTGACAGGAAGATGAATGGAACGCTGCAAAGAGACAAAGAATTAGCGCGGCGGCTGGAGAAAGGACTCAAGGATTCAAAGTGTGTATTGTCGTGCACAACAGGGGTGTGCGGTAGCTTGGTGTTCAGTATTGTAATCCTGAGGTTGCAGGTTCGAGCCCAGGTTGCGTCAGGAAGGGCATCCAGCGTAAACCAATTTCCAAATCTTTCATGCGAGTTTGTCGCTGTGGCGACCCCTGAAGAAGGGAGCAGATGAAAGAAACGTGCTTTACTGTTCTGTGCACAACTGGAAATGTTTCCATCAGCAATGAAATTCTTTGCTGTCCACAATGGATGCCAAGCTGAGAAAGAAGATGAACGTAGTGTCTAACCATCTCTCTGAGCAATCGGCTTTGGAAATGGCACAAACCATATAAATGGTAAATGGATTGAACTTCTATACAGTAACACCTTTCTATCTTATCCAGACACTCAAAGCTCTTTACAACAATCTGTCTCTCATTTACCCATTCATACAGCTCTATACTAGATCTCTACAAAGATAATTGAACAAATCATTCTAAAGAGACTAATCAGTGCTTTAACTCACATTCATACACTGATGGGACACACATCAGAGGCTATGAGGGGTTCAGTGTCTTGCCCAGGAACACTTCGGCATGTGACTGCTGGTGGATTCGAACCCCCAACTCTTGCATTGGAGGACGACTGCTAGTAAGTAAGTAAGTAAAACTTTATTTATATAGCGCTTCTCAAGATAAAAATCACAAAACGCTTCAACAAATCAGATAAACAAAAGCAAAAAAACAAATTCAGGCCAAAAACAGATTTAAAAACTGACTGACCACTCAGCCAGAGCCGCCTCATATACCATGCGTATGAGGCTTGTCAGCATGTCAGTGTCACTTTGAACAACAACGCTTCTTGGATTCCATCTTTCTGCTGTTTTTTATTGGTGCAAACCACGACTGCAGCTCTACTCGTATTGTACTTGATGTTCAGCTTGCCTGAGGTCTGGACGCCTGCTGACATCACACATTGTGGAGAAAGATATTTTTAGAAACTGACCAGCGCTATTAAGTGACGTAATGAGAACGTTTTTGTTGTGTGGGAGGAAACCAGAAAAAATGAGAATCAAATGGGGACAAATACAATCTCTGTGCATCACACATGCACAGGGAGAACATGCAAACCCCACCCAGAGATGACCCCAGGCAGGTTGCAGACATACAACCTTCTTGTTAAGGCGACGGCTCTAATCAACATTTTAACTAGTTTGAAAATCACTGCCCATCCCCATAATTTATTATTACATGTATTCACTACATGGCTCATGTCAATTAAATCATGTTTTCATTGCAGCGTTCAGTACAAAGGTTCCTCGGTTTGAAACCATTTATTTTAATCGCCCCAGTCCAGTTACCGTACTTGCCGCTGTACACGTCGCACCGCCGTATAAGTCACCAGTCCAAAAATGTCTAAAGTGGAAAAAAATATATATATGTTGCTTCGCCGTTTACATCGCATCTATTATGTGTCATCGCTGACAACCAGGAAATGTGAAATGTGGGCCGGTGTTGTGCCAAAAATCGATTGGCTGCCAAATGACGACCACGGGAGCGTGCACCGGAAGACTTTAACAAGATTAACTCTTAAAAACAATTATTTGTTTGCTTGAAATTATAGTAAAGTTGTGTCTCAGTTGAACTTTTCCTTAATAAATGCACTTTAATGGTCAAATCAGCTGCATTTCTCCTGGGCGGTGAAATGCAGCTGATTTGACGTTTGCTCCAGGAGTTTCGGAGCGAGACGAAGGTGGCTTGGTATGGCAAGACAAGTATGTCATTAACAGCCACTTTTACCTTTTAATGACACTCTGGTTTGTTCCACTTTGGACTAAGCTGTTGGGGGAAGAGTTTTGTTGCTTCCTTGACTGATGAAGCCTTCCGGACCGAAGACGGAATGTTTCAGCACAAAAAAAGAAACTGTCCAGATGAACTGACTGAAAAATGTTGGATCAGAGAGGTTTTTCTCTTTTTACATAAATTGCTTCCTTCACCCCCCTCTCAAACCATCTGTGTCTCGGTCCAAAATGTGCACATTTTGGTCCTCAGAACCGTCTCTTAACAGAGGAGGAGGCCTCAGATTTCAACTTTCAAAAATGTACAATGCAACTTTAAGACTGATTCCCAGCCAGTTTTCACACCTGATGGGAACAGAGGGGCCTCATCTGTGAATTAGAGGAACAAAGACCTTAAGAAACCCGAACTGTTAAGGTGTGAGGTGTGACTTGTCAATCTGCATATGTATGTGTATCTAATCTCAACCTTTTAACTGTATCTCTCACTCTCTGCTCTTTGAATTGAGAAAGCTCCTCGGATGAGGAGCGAAACATCTTCTGTTACAAATAAAGTCCAGTTGTTTTTGTATTGAACGTTTTGAATTGATCATGTCCTGGATGAGCGAGGATCTTCACCAGTTTATTATTAGTTGTGTGTTTGTGTCAGGGGCCAGTCTATCACAACCCTGGGTGGATCCTAAACAGATTTAGCTTTTGAAGGGCTGTCATAATCTAATAATCTTATCCTAAAGGGATGTCTGATGTCTTTAAGCTGCTGCGTATTCATACCCATCTGAGATGTAACTGGGACCTTGAGCACATAATTTCGTTCCACCTCATGTACCACATGTGATGTAAAGAACCTTAAATAAACACCGTTTCTGTTTCCAGCTGTAGTTCTTTTAAGCCTTTTGTCATCTTGCTCAGTTTTTTCTCTGATCATTTGTTTCCTCCCTCAGCTCCACAAACAAGCAGACATGCAGGAAGAGAAGAATCGTATTGAGCGAGTGCTCGGCGCCATATCTGCTCCTGACCTCGTCCAGAAAGTCCTCAACTTCGCCCTCTCGGTACACAACACTGTTCAATTCATTTACACTAGTGGCTTTTATTTCTCTCCTCAGGAAAAAGGACTGGCGCTAGTTTATTTATTAATTATTTGTTTTGAACCCAGTGACATTTGTCTGTACAGGTGGTGAGATGGTGTTTGTGTTAGAGACAAACGAGTTCAGGTCGTTTGGCGTTTGCTGCAGATTAGTCTTTAAGTGAGACGTCAGCCGTGCTGCTCGTCTTCACTGTCTGGCTCTGCTTGGAGCTGCAGTTGATCTGACCGGTTCAAGTTCACTTCTGCTTGTCAGTTCACCTGCCAAGTGGATTCTTTAGACAAGTTTTCCCTTTTTTCAACCGGTTTCTACAAAGAATTGCCCACATTATATTTCCATGTAGAACAATAAGGTTCACCAGCTGCTGATTTATCTTGTTGTAGTTCTGTTCTCTGACCAGTTTCAGAGAGTGGACTGTAATTCCATTAACGCTGTTAAAAGTTAACCGTTTAAAATCCTAAATCTTTAGCACTCTGGCTGAGTGACAAACTGACTCGTCTTTGTGAATGTGGACCCGGGCAGGAAGACGTTCGTCCTCAGGACACCGTGTCAGTGATTGGGGGAGTGGCAGGAAGCAGTAAACAAGGCCGCAAAGCTGCATGGAAGTTCGTCAAAGACAACTGGGAAGAGCTTTATAACCGCTACCAAGGAGGATTCCTCATATCACGACTCATCAAGGTTTGGAAAAAAAACTACTGCAACGTAAAACATCATTTACTACAAGAACCTCTGAGAGCAGCTCATGTTTAGTGTCAACCAACGCTCAGCGTTTCCTCTGGTATTCAACAAAACTGCCCACTCCTAACGAACGTCATGCATGTAACATGTTCATTAATGTCTGTGCGTGTTCACCCATCACTGTGGGCGGGGCAGATCATCACTATCCCGCACCCCCATCCTCCCTGGGACTTGTGTAGTTTGGACAGTAGGGCTGGGTGAGAGCGTGTGTGTAATCACACACGTGACTTTTAAGTAGGGGTTGAATAAACTAGTCGACTCGTTGATTGTAGGACGTCTCGTGAGTTGCTTTTATTTCACGTCGACGTTGCAGTCGGTGTTTGAGTCATGTGATCAGCCGGGCCACGGACTACAAATCAGATCAGCAGCTGAAGGATGAAGGAGAGGAGCAGGCCAAGTCTCCCCAAACGCACAGAAATTCATCAACAGTGGAAGAATTACACCGATGATGTTTTTATTTAATTCACTAAATACCCCACCATGTGTGTATTTGTTGCTGTACACACTGCTGGTGGATAGTTTATATTTTTATTTTAGTAAATAAAATAAAAACAGTGGTGCGCACCATGGGAGAGTCCACCACGCATCACCCCCGGTGGAGAATCCACAACCGCCGCAGTGGTTTATTTAATTTATTGGATTAAATAAAATAAAACTCTTAACTTTTGCAGCTTCATAATAGTTTAGGTTTTCCTGTTACTTATTTGCAGTTTGATAAATGGTAGGACCATAAATATACACTCCTGATGTGTTGTTGTTTTTTTTGTAAAGTATTTATTTTTAGCGTCTTGAGTTCCTATGACATCATCAACTAGTTGACGTCGACTCAACTATCATCATGTTAATGTCGGCTTAAAAAATGAGCTCGTTCAACCCCTTCTTTTAAGTGTTTTTGTTTGTAAGCAGGGGCAGACCGGGCGACTGCGTTCTCTGTACAGCTGTGGAATCCAGCTGTTTGTGGCCAAAAGGAAAACGGAGTCACTGATAACTGTGGTTTTAAAACAAGGAGTTACTAAAAGCATTTGACAAGAAATAAATCAGAGCAGCCAGCTCTGAACTGAATTTATTTATTTATGTTTCCAGCTCTGGGCTGAAACTAAAAGCTAAAGACAAACGGATCATTCTGACAACAGACCGGTGGTTACTTCTGACATGACCTTTCTGTTTTAAAATGCAATGTTTCTGAGATCTGGAACCTGCAGAAAATGTCCTGATGCGTGCTCGATCATCCAGGCTGCTGGCAGCTCCACGTGTTCAGAATGACAGACGTGAGGCGCAGCGTGACGCGTCACAGCATCATTAACTGTTCATGAGGACAAACTCTGAGCCACAGTCGAACTGAAGCTTAAAAACTTGGGCTATTTGATCAAAACGTGCATAACTACTGGGTGAAGCCGTGCTTTCTAATATACTAATATTTATATAATTATATAACCCCCCCCCCCCACAGAAAAGGCTGGGGTGGGAAAATAAAGTTGGGGGAAACGCTGACTTATCAGTTGTAGGACTTAGAAGTTGTGAGCTGAAGCTTCAATGAAATTGTTGAACAGTAATTTTGTTTCTGTGTTTAATTTATTTTAGTTGAGCAGCAGCTTGCCTTGATGCCGTCTTGCTCACATGTGTCTTACTTGTGTTCGCAGCTAACTGTCGATGGATTTGCGATTGATAAAATGGCAGCTGAAGTGAAGGTGAGAACTGGTGAACTTGATGTTTGACATGAACTCCTTTTAAACGTTAATGCAGCTGTATGACCACCAGGGGGCAGGATGGGAGCGTCACAGGCTCTTATGAACTCAGGTTCTTGTTGAACTGCACCGAAGGTCTGAACAGATGTTGTAGCTTGTTTTGTTGGCTGGCTCTGGGCTGAAACAGCTGGAACATACAGACCAACAGATTATTCCAGTGTGGATGTTTGGCAGTAAAAAATGGAAACAGGAAGCGTTTTTTGTGTCTTTCTTGATATGATGTGGAGCTGTGCTCTGCTGACTCATCATCCTCGTTCTTTTTCTACTCAGCACAGTTTATCAGTCTGTGCTGAGTTTTGCTGTTTTAACATTTGTCCCCTACATTTGTTGTCTACTTCTGTACACTATTTTACCATTCAGTTATTAAAACATGGTCGTGGTGTTGTGACTTCCTGTTAGTGTTATTTGTACTTTTCAGAATATTTCTCTTTATTTAAAATGAAACATCTCAATTAAAACACGTTGATCCAGTGGTGCTTGATGGTTTGTGAAGACTTTATAATTTTCTGTATTTCTGCATCAATATGACCTAAAACATGATCAGATTTTCACACAAGTCCTAAAAGTAGATGAAGAGAACCCAGTTAAACAAATGAGACATAAATATTATACTTATTTATTTACTGAGGGAAATGATCCAATATTTGTGAGTGGTAGAAGTTTGTGCCCCTCTAGGAGGATCAGTCATCCTCAGCTCCTGCAGGATGTTGAGGACACCCTGAAAGTTGTGGCACTGCAGACTCGTGAGCGTTGGCCAGCCCAGTAAACTACAGCACAAACTACAGATGTTGTAGTTTACTTCAAATCCAGAAGTTGGGAGTTAGTGTGTGTGACGCAGCCCGTTGTGGTGAGGCGCTGTGTTTGGGTGCAGACTTTAAACGGCTCTTCTTCTCCCCCCTCACGCAGAGTTTCTTTGAGAGTCACCCGGCGCCGGCTGCAGAGCGCACGGTGCAGCAGTGCTGCGAGAACATCCTGCTCAACGCCGCCTGGCTCAAGAGAGATGCAGACGACATCCACCATTACTTTCTGCACCGCAAAGCGCCCCCTGTCTGAGCTGCCTGCCCCACCACCTCCTCCACCTCCCCCACCTTCACCACAGACCTAAGGGAAGACGAGCGCGTGCTTACAGCGGGCTTCATTACTCAAACTATACGCAACAATAAAAGCAAGCCACAAACCGAACACAGCTTAGGAGGAGACTTTTCCTACGTTAACAAGCAAATTCCATGTTAGGCAAACCAAGAATGTTTTTATTATTTTACCCCCGTTCTGTCCACAGCTGAGGAGCCTTCTTCCAGTTGGTAAAATGGTTCTCCATAGAGTGGTTTGAAGTGCGCTCCTCCTCTGCGTCACCCCCCCCCGTGTTGTTGCTGACACATCTGTGAGCCCTGATGTTCTCTCTGCAGCCACACATTTTGTGCGCATGGTTTTTACTTCAGTATGTTCTTGTTGTAAACCATTCAGCAGCGTTTCCCTTCTCTTTACTTTTTGTCTGGTGCTGTGGTGAACGCAGGGGGTGTCCGGGCAGAATGGGGTTAAAAGCACCAGTGAGTGGTGTGGTTTCCAACAGTGATGACTTGTTCAGTGCTAATAAACGGTTAGGACCAGGTAAGCAGCACAAGCATGGTACTATATTGTAAACTGTATTGCAAGCGTATTTTTGCTGATTTAAAAAAACAAACAAAGCTAATCTACTTCCATCCTTCACTCCCCTGAACGCCCTCTCTGAGCCCTGGTCAGAGTTTTAATCCTCTAAAGGCATATTTAATGGCGTCTCTATTCTGGAGTGCTTCATCACATCGGATGCTGTGATTTATTTCAATGTTTAATCTTTAGTTCTGGGATCCGGTAAAGATAAGATCACGACACTGCTTCAGAATGAAAAGCACTGGGGGTGCTCCTCTGCGCAGCATCGGCTGTGGCTTGGCCCGGACCTTCTGGACGTGACGGATCTTCTGTGACTTTGCTGTTGAACTCAGTAGCCTTAAAGTGGTCGATTGGTTTGCAGTAAATAAAAACACTGATGGTGGTAACTTCATGAGACATACCTGAAGTGACAGAATATGCAGACTTGAGTATAACAATATGAAACTCCTAAGCCATTGTGTTTTTTGGTACCAACATGGCCGCCCTGCTTGATAAAAGATGTTTTTTTAATTATTAAAAACTGTTTGAGGTGATAATCAGTACATGTTGGTGCTTCAAGAGAGAAGTGTGACCTGTGTCCACAAAGTGATAGAAATCTAAACGCTTGTGTGTTCAGAGATTATGAAACTATGTAAAGATGATTTTAGCAGCGCCTCATCAGATGTAGAGAGTTCTGACTTGAATCATCGAGGGAACGCTCAGCAAAAAGTTGCTTTTATGCGAAGTCTGTAGAAAACGTCGGGGCAGCTTGATCAGAGACAATTCATGCTCATTGATGTGTGTGAATTCAAGTCTGGAACGTGTTGCCAAGGCTGTTGTAAATACGATCTAATAAAGAGGCGCGTGTCCCCACGTCTCAGCTGTTTGGAGTCTTAACGTCTCAGCTGTTTGAAGTCTTAACATCTCAGCTGTTTGAAGTCTTAAC